TCACTCAAGATAGTGTTTTCTATTTCTATCCATTTGCATTCAAAATTCAAGATGTCACTGTTTTTTTACCTTTGAATAATACTCTAATGTGTATATATGCCACACTTTCTTTATCCATTCTTCCATTGAGAGGCATCTTGTTTTTTTCCAGGTTCTGGCTATTACAAATTGTGCTGCTATGAACATAGTTGAACAAATGCTTTTGTAATATGTTTGGGCATCTCTTGGTTATATTCACAAGAGTGGTATTGCTGGATCCAGAGGAAGGTTGACTCCCAATTTTTTGAGAGACCGCTGATTTCCAAAATGGTTGCACAAGTTTGCATTCCCACCAGTAATGGATGAATGTTCCCCTTACTCCACATCCTTTCCAGCATACACCATCATTGTGCTTTTTATTTTAGCCATTTTGACAGGTGTAAGATGGTATCACAAAGTTGTTTTGATTTTCATTTCCCTGATAGCAAAGGAAGTTGAACATGGCTTAAGTATCTTTTGGCCATTTGAAATTCTTCTCTTGAGAATTCTCTGTTCAGTTCAGTACCCCACTTTTTTATTGGGTTATTTCGAATTTTAATGTCTAGTTTCTTGAGTTCTTTATATATTTTGGAGATCAGACCTTTGTCTGATGTGGGATTGGTGAAAATCTTCTCCCATTCTTAATGACTGTGTCCTTTGCTTTACAGAAGCTTCTCAGTTTCAGGAGGTCCCATTTATTCATTGTTGCTCTTATTGTCTGTGTGATTATACATAGGAAGTGGTCCTGTGCCCATGTGTTGCAGGCTTTTCCCCACTTTCTCTTCTATCAGGTTTAGTGTGGTTGGATTTATAATGAGATCTTTAATCCATTTGGACTTGAGTTTTGTACACGGTGATAGATAGGGATCTATTTTCATTCTTCTACAGGTTGACATCCAGTCATGTCAACACCATTTGTTAAAGATGCTTTCTTTCTTCCATTGTTTACTTTTAGCTCCTTTGTCAAAAATCAGGGGTCCATAGGGTTGTGGATTAATATCTGGGTCTTCAATTCAATTCCATTGGTCAACGTCTCTGTTTTTATGCTAATATCAAGCTTTTTTCATTACTGTAGCTCTGTAATAGAACTTATTGTCAGGGATGGTAATGCCTCCGGAATTTCCTTTATTGTAAATAATTGTTTTGGCTATCCTGGGTTTTTTGTTTTTCATATAAAGTTGATTATTGTTCTTTCAAGGTCTGTGAAGAATTTTTTTGGGATTTTGATGGGGATTGTGTTGAATCTATAGATTGCTTTAGGTAGGATTGCCATTTTTACTATATTGATCCTACTTATACAAGAACATGGGAGATCTTTCTATTTTCTGATATCCTTTTCAATTTTTTTAAACACTTAATGTTCTTGTCAAATAGGTCTTTCACTACTTTGGTTAGTGTGACCCCAAGATATTTTATGTTATTTGTGGCTATTGTAAAAAATGATGTTTCTCTGATATCCCTCTTAGCTTATTTATTATTTGTGTATAGGAGGGCTACTGATTTTTTTCACTTGATCTTGCATCCTGCCACATCACTGAAGGTATTTATCAGCTGTAGGAGTTCTCTTGTAGAGTTTTTGGGGTCACTTCTATATACTATTATATCATTTGCAAATAGTGAAAGTTTGGATTCTTCCTTTCTAATTTAAATTCCCTTGATCTCCTTTTGTTGTCTTATTGCTATTGCTGAAACTTCAAGCACTATGTTGAAGAAATATGGAGAGAGTGGACAGCCTTGTCTTGTTCCTGATTTTAGTGGAATTGTTTTGAGATTCTCTCCATTTAATTTGATATTGGCTGTTGGCATGGTGTATATTGCTTTTACTATATCTAGATATGTTCCTTGTATACCTGATCTCTCCAAGACCTTTATTATGAAGTGGTGTTGGATATTGTCAAATGACTTTTTCAGCATCTAATAAAATGATCATATGGTTTTTTCTTTCAGTTTGTTTATATGATGGATTACATTGATAGAATTACTTCCCAAGCTCTCTCAGGCTTCATATGGATGCAGTTGTCCATGTGGGTGCCATTTGATGACTGGGTTTTCTGTCCTGCCCAGTTTCCACAGTCGTTAAGTCCCAAAGAAATCACACAGAGATCGACATTATCTATAAACTGATTGGCTCATTAGCTCAGGCTTCTTATTAACTCTTATAACTTATATTAGCCCATTATTCTTGTCATGTGTCATATTAGACATGTGGCTTGGCACCTTTTTCGGTGAGGCAGTTACATTTTGTTTGCTCTGTGACCAGGTCAGGACTGTTGGAAAGTAGTTCTAAAGACCATCTAAGACCACATAATCAGTTGCAGGAATGAGGGTTTATAACTAACATGAGTGCTTCTGTTGTATTTTGCTAAGAATGTATTTGTGCAGATATTTGTTTTTCAATATCCTTATCAAATATTGTAGCAACTAAGAAAATGTTAATAGGATGTCACCTAAGGGACATTGCCACCTATCCTAAATTTAAAATTTGTTTGTGGTTGTATGAAGAATAGTTATGTCATGTTAGGTATAATTATTACCTGGTTTGCAATAGAGATGCATATTGATACAAATTTAGGATCAATTTTGTTTTATACATACAATACATACATATATATGTTCTTGATTAAAGTATTGTGTTTGTGCAGCTCACTTGAAAATGTAATACATAATTAAGAAATATAGATTGATAAATAATCATCTCTAATAGACAAGCTTATAGTCATTTTCAAGATATATAGAGATATATTTCAGTTAGATAGGTATTCTTCAAATCTTTCAGAGACCTCAGAATATGGCATTTAAAATGTTTAAATTATTAACTTAAGACTTTTCATGACAATGAGACTCATCTGCTCCTGGTAGCACCAATCTACTTCAAGAGGATGATTGGCATCAAAAATGCTCCTTATGGAGTTTGTTAGCTAATTGTGCAAGTAATTCCTCTTGCCTGGACTGCTTGATGTTATGATGTATTAAGTAGACATGCAGGACCCACAGAGAAATGACTGTGGAAGTTGCCTAAACATGGTGAGATAGTCCTTCAGGGTTCCTGCTTCATGAAAGAGTCTGCCAGACATTTTGCAGGATACAGAAGTGACTGTTGATTGCCAATATAGATGGAATTATCTTTGAAGTTTCCTGCTTCATGAAAAAGTCTGCTGGACACTATAGGCCTGTAGGCTGAAGATGAATGCCCCAACAGTACAGAAGAACTTTGGGTGACTATCCATGCAGTAAGATATCTCTGTCAATTCTAGAGTTTCGTTAAGTTGCTTACAATACACTTAGACAATATTATATCCTTCTGGAGTCTTTGATGAAGTTGAAGAATAGTTATGATTATAGTTTTCCTTAGTTATAATAAGAGATAAAGTAGATATAAATATTGTAACTATAATTCATGCTTGATAATTGTTTTGCTATATACAATTTTACTATGTTAAAATTAAAACCTTCCTTTTTATTTAAACAGAAAAAGGGACATTGTGTGGGAAGTCCTTCTGTCTATGTTTTGCTTTTATTCATTTTATTCATTAACTACTGTTGTAAATGACGAGCGGGCTGCTTTTCATCTTGTCTGGCTCCCAGCCACCCTGTTAGCTTTACCTGAAATAATCACACAGAAACTGTATTCATTTAAACACTAACTGGCCCATTAATTCTAGCCTCTTATTGGCTATTTCTCCATCTTGATTCAACCCATTTCTAATAATCTGTATGTCACCACGAGCTTGAGGCTTACAGGGAAAGATTCAGCATGTCTGACCTAGCAGCTTTTTGGCGGGCGGCTCTCTGTGATCCTGCTTTCATCCTCCCATAAGTCAGTTCTCTTTTTCCTGCCTATCTAAGTTTTGCCCTATCAAAAAGCCAAGGCAGTTTTCTTTATTCAACCAATGAGAGCAACACATAGAAAGAAGACCCTCCTACACCATTTCCCCTTTTTCTGTTTAAACAAAAAGGAAGGCTTTAACTTTAACATAGTAAAATTATACATAACAAACCAGTTATCATACAAGAATTACAGGGACAATATTTAGATCTATTTTATCTTTTATCATAACAATGAAAAACTATAACTATCTATTCTTCAACTCCATCAAAGACTTCAGAAGGATATAATATCTCCTAAGTAAACAGGAAGTAAGCAACTTCCAAAACTCTAGAAATGACAGAGACATCTTGCTTCCTGGACAGTCAATCAAAGTTCTTCTGTACCATTGGGGCATCCATCTTTGGCCTTCAGGCCCATAGTATCCAGTAGACATTTCCATGAAGCAGGAAATTTCAAAGACAGTTCAGTCACTTTTTTCCATATCCTGCAGAATGCCTTACAGACTCTTACATGAATCAGGAACCCCAAAGAATCATCTCACTTTTAGGCAAGTTCAGCAGTCCTCTCTCTGTGGGTTCTCTGTGTCCAGTTTATGCAACAGTCCAGGCAAGAGCAATTTCTTGCCCAAATGGCTATCAAACTCCATAAGGAGCCTCTTCGATGTCCATCTTCCTCAGGAAGTAGCTTGGTGCTGCCAGGAGCAGAAGTGTCTCACTGTCATGAAAAGCCTTAAGTTATTGAAACATTTAAAATGTCATTTTCTGTAGTCTTTGAAAGATATGAAGAATACCTATTTAAAATATATCTCTATATATCTAGAAGATCTAACTAACATGACTACAAGCTTGACTATTATTGATGATTATCCATTAACAACCTATATTTCCTAATTATACACTACATTTTTAAATGAACTACACAATCACAATATCTTAATCAATATCAGAAATACATATACATATAACAAAATTGACCTTAAAATCTGTACCAATGCAAATTATTCATATCTATCATATCCCCCTTTAAATGTAAGAGAACATTTATAAACAATATTTGGGAATGTGGACACAGTTGTTTCTCTCCAATCTGCTTCCTGCTGTATGGGGGTGCTGTTATTCAGGTCTTTCATGGTATAACCTGTTTGCTAGGTTCATCTCAGTTGGCAGATGAGTGAAGTAATTTCTTGAGGGTATTTATGGCAACGTTTTAGGAGGGTGGGGTCCATGAAACCATATTATTGGTCTGGAAGCAATCCACAGGGTCTCATTCTCTGTGAAAACAAAAGAAGAACCTCTGTTCCAAAGCATCATCTCCTTAGACCCAAATTTTGAAGACATAATACCCTTATGTTATCCATTCTGGTTTAGCTTGGCAGCCCATATAATGAGATGTCTCTCTATACTTAGTTCCTTCACAGTCAAAAAATTCGAAGAAAACACAATATACAGAATCCAAGCTCTCTGTGAATTTTCCATTTTTACGTGGCTTATTGTTTTTATTTCTTTTAATCTATAACTATCTGTACTCCTCTCTTTAAAGACTTTACCCTTTTTTTAAAGCATTAACTTTATTCTCTTTATTCTTTTTCTTCTCTCTCCCAAGCCTATGTACACCCATCCAAAAGTGTGACCCATTTAGAGGTCTTTTATGTCTAAATCTGTCCTATTGTGAATCTGTAATCCTTTACTATCCAGGAGCACTTCTTAAAATGCAAAGCACTTCTTAAAAATTTAGCTTGCACCATGTAGCCATAATATGGTACCACCTGTTTACTGCCCAGTCCAAACCTTAACTGCGCTGTTATTATGATAATTATGTAGTTTCTGCCTGAGATCAGCACAGTTCAGTATGGCAGAGCCTCTCCGCTCGTGCCTCTCTGAGCCATGTGCACAGCACAGATAGCATGGCAGAGCTTCTGGTACCTCTGAGTCACTTGTCCCTCTGAGCCACACATAGTGCTCCACTTTCAGGCAGACAGCGAGTCCAGTTTACCATCATCAAGCCTTAGCACTTTACTCACAAAACTCCATTCAAATGCTCTGTCTCCTGCAGGAGCCAAACAGAGATCGTGATGGCGGCACAGCCCAGAAACTCTTAGAATTTAGAGGAAGGTAAAGAATATTGACTTTAAAGTAGTCATTGGCCAGGTTAGGATGTAGTTTACTTCTAGGAAACTGAGTGATTGACATGTCCCATTGGTTCAGAGTCCAAGCCAGTCAGACAATAATGCAAATGACAAATACTACACAGGCCTCAAGTTCAAATTCTCAGTGAGCTATGAAGCCCAGTGTGGAGTGTTTCGTGGCCCAATGAAGCCTACATTGCTGATTTTTTTTTTATCATCTCCAGCTCAAAGGAGTCAACACTGAAGGAAGGTCTGGCCTTACACACAGCCTGAGTGAAGACACAGACTGAAAGCAAGAAAAGAAATAGTAGCAGAAGGAAGGAGAGGTGACTTTAAGCATGACAACCCAACCAAGACACCATAAAATAAGAAGTTTTATGAGTAAAACCACATGATGAGAACTCACCTTTTTTCTCTTGCCGTAAGTTCCTCAAAAACTGGGGAGAAAGTTTCTCTGCAAGATAGAAGGATTCGAGTATGTAGTTATCTGTATTTCAGTGGTGTGAATTGGGAATTGCCAGTCTCGTTCCAGAAGTTCAGCCTCAATCTTCCATTCAGACCCATGTTTTCTGACTGCATTCCCCTCTCCTCACATACAAGTTAGAGACACTGGCCTGTGGCAGCTGGAAAGACCTCCTCATATCCCTCTTCCTCAAGTGCTGAGAATTTTCCCTTACAATCCCTTGTTCAACCATTACACATTCTCATTCTCACGGGACACAATTAAACTTGCTCCACACCAGGACTAGGCAGTCAACACACATGTGTTTTATGCATGTAGGGTGTCACATATACTGATGAATTTGGAGCACATGACAGAAATTTGGTTATGAAAGATAATGGAGAAAGTTTGTGGAAGAAACACATTCTCTCTCCTCTCTCTCTCTCTCTCTTTTCTTTTTAGACAGGGTTTCTCTGTGGAGGTCTGGCAACCTACTCGCACTGTAGACAAGACTGTCTTCGAACTCAGAGATCCAGTTGCCTCTGCCTCAGGAGTGCTTGGATTTAAAGAGTATGCCAAAACCACCAGCACAGAGAACCAATCTCCAACAGTTTAAGAAGGGTCTCTGGGAGGTGAGGGCCCAGTCAAGAAGGAGTGAGATATTTAAGCTAAGAATTCTAGGATAAAAACTAGCTTATAGGATAGGGAGATGAGGAAATCATGTCTATGATGGTCTATTACTAACAGCATTATAGATGTGTCCTAGTTAGTTTGGCTGTCAACTTGACATACCTAAGAAGAGCATGTCTAATGTCTAAATGTCACATGAAGAATTGTCTGTTTCAGATAACCTTTAGGCATGTCTGTGGGGGCATTTTATTGATTGTGGATTCACACAGAAAATCCAAGCCCACTGTGGGTGATACCATCACTTATAAGTGAGCATAACCTGAATAAGAAAAGCAGGTGAACATAAACCAAGGAGCAAGTCAGTACTTCTGTAGTTTCTGCTTCAGTTCCTGCCTCCATAGTTCTGCCTTGTGATCCTGCCTTGCCTTCCCATCATAATGGACTGCTGCCTATAACCAAATAAACTCTTTTCTTCACCAAGTAGCTTTGGGTCATAGTGTTTATCATAGTAACACAACAAGCAAAGTAGAACCAGGGGCGGAGATTAGCAGAGAGCTGATGCCTTTTTAGCTTACTTGAAGCACTGAGTTCAATCCCTTCACACCAAATAATGGTGACAATGATGATCATATATTTCACCTGCTATTTCTAACCTCAAGGACATCACTAATTCCTTGTCTATGTTTCAAATTTGAGGTCATTAGAATGGCATTAAGTTCCTGCACAAACATTTTGAATTGATGGTTTATGCCACATCACTCATCCTGTATCCAGACAACTGCCTTTGCTTGCAGGTCCTTTCTCTAGACTCTGTTGCACTTGTCTGGCCGTCAAGTCCTCCTTTGGCTTCAATGCAGAAATTTCTCTGCAAGAACCCCAATCCAGAATGGCCATTCCCTCCGCAGAGATTCTGTATCTATCATTTGTCAACACCAGCAAGGTGCACCTCCAGGAATGAGGTTATGGATGTGGGCTGCCTCTCTTCTGGGGAACAGACAAACCTCATCAGCATTAGGGATTTCCCATATCTCATCACTATTTGATCTGGAAACAGTGCAAGAAGAAGAGGCACTGTCCCCCTCCCCCTCCCCTGCAATACCTGAATCAGCAATTTCAGGGGCCAATTGTAGCAGCGCACACTCAATTTCCAGTTCTTTGATCGTTCGCGTCCTCCCAAGATTTCAAACTCAGTGGGTGTGTACCAGTCCCCAGCTTCACTCTGTATGGACTTCACGAAGATTCCTGTAAGACCACAGTAGACTGATCGTGAGCCTGCTTTGTCCCTGGAGCTCAGATTCACGGCCCCTCCCACCACACTGGAACTGGAGCCACCCAAACTGTGCTCAAAGTCAATAGAGTCGGCCTTCTCTCTGGCTGCAGGAGTCCCAGCTCAGCCCTGGAGTTCCCTAAAGGTCTTTGTTGAAGCCTTTCATGTTTCTTTGATTTTCATGCCTGAAGAAAATGGCAATTGCCACCAATTGCCACCTTTTTAAAACTACTTCAGGGTCAGGTAGAGAAGGACAAGGCACTGACTGACTGCACAGGGTGCTTGGATTTGAACCTGGTATTGATCTCTCGGGCTAGAGAACAACCAGTCCCAGGAGGCCCCAGGCAAGGTGGAGGTGGAGTCCTCATCTCAGAGCTGAAGGTGTAGCTAGATTCTGCAACTCGGGGGTTCTGTGACATCACTGTCTACCCAAATTTATGAGACGATTGAACAGGTGCTTGGCCATCACTGCAGTTGGAGGTAAGTACTATTAAACATAAGTAAATATTACCCCATGAAAATACAGGCTATGGTTAATAAAAAAATAGGCATGTTTTGGGCATCTTCATTGTTATGAAAATGCAAGCAAAATCACAACACTATTTCACATACCACCAAGATGACAGTAATAAAAAAGCAAGAAATAGTAGCTATTTATTGTAGAAAAGTTGAAGGTCTCACACACTGATGATGTGAATATAAAACAGTGCAACCTCTACCAAAAACATTTGGTAATTTATTACTGAGTTCAACATGTAATCATCATATGACCCAGCAATTCCACTTCTGTGTATGTGCCCCAAACTCAGTATCTATATCACATAAATGGTATACACAAATTATCAAAACAGCATTATTCTTTATAACCCAAGGCAGATGAGGTAAACTGAATAAATGAGGAAAATATGAAATAGTCATACAATGGACTATGACATTATTTGTGATTTGAAACACATACTGCATAAACTATACCGATGAGGCTTGATGTCATCATGCTAAGTGAAAGCAGGCAATCACAAGTGACATACACTATAGCATGTCACTTGTATGAAGTGTGTAAGGAGGCAGGTTTATAGGACAGGAATTAGCTGGGCGAATGCTCAGTAGAAGGAAATAGAAATGAGTATCATCCTAATAGACAGAGGGGGACAAATATGTTTGCATGGTAATTTTTTTCTGTGTACCAAAAAAGAAACCCCCATTGATCATAGACTCTATGTGCTGAATTATATGGTATATGAATTATAACTCAGTACATCTGTTAAAAATAATGACAATGTATTTATATCAACTGCCATCCACAGGCTCATAATAAAAGAGATCTGAGATGAAGTTCATCATAGTGGGTTTTGGTCTGGGGGGGGCTGTGGTTTTTGTTTTTTTCTTTTTTTGCAAACAAGAATATGTTATACCAATAATATAAGTTAATCCTCATGGATATACCATAGATCAGGCTTTATATTATTGTCCTCTATTTAAAAACAAGAAATTTCATGCCCAGAAAGTCCTCCCACATAACAGAAAGAGACCTCCTCTCTTGGCAAAGCTGAGTCTAGAACTTGGGTTCTCTGATTCTCAATCCTGTGATGTTTTCACCATAACAAGTGCCCTGCCCTGGTGCTACTGACACAGGGATGTAAAGTCAGAGGCTGAGGGCCTCTCCCTGTTTAATGTCTGACTGAAAGGAAAATATACAGTAGCTTCCATTTCTGGATGGAAGTTTCTCTGGTTCTCTGGGCATCTAATGTCTCCATCCACGTTATTGTGAGCACCTACTAGGCATGGTTTCTTCAAGCGTTAGGATCCTTCCTATTTTCAAGGCTACTCCCCCAGTTCCTTAAGTAATTCCATTATTGTCTGTGATGTTTTTATTTAGCAGTTGTGAAAAAAACCATGATACCTACCTTGCTTGAATTTATCCTTGTGTAATGTTCCCTTCATGTCACCACATGTCACAGGAAGCAGCTCAGCACTGAAACATGCATTTTTATTTCTGTGCCTTCTTGGAACTGAAAAAGAAGATTTCTTCTTCTGTCTCTTTGCAGGTGTGCACGTTCCCTCCTCTCTCGGGGTCATTTCTATAACACTAGGAATACTTCGCTCCTCAGATCTCTAACTTCTAAGTCTTTTTTGTAAGTGGCATATTGTATGCATAATGACAAATATTTTACCTCTAATTTATTTTTTTTTTAAAAAAAAACAAGCTTTAACAGAAACTTTTGGCTTTGATAAACTGTCCTGATTCTCGCTCTGATTGCTACAGGGTCATGAAACAGACACTGCCTGGCTGCTTTATTGTACTAAAGATGGTAGGCAGAGGTGGTCCTCCTATCTCCCCCATTTGAGCACTGGCTGGACTAGCAGGGAGAGGAGATGATGGGAAACCTAGCAGAGTTGGGTGGAATTATTTCTCTTTCTGTCGGCTCTGCTCCATCTTTCCCTCACAACAGCATTTTCTGTAACTGAGAGAGAACCCCAAAAAGTTCTAGAATAATCTGAAAGCGCTAATGTAGAGAAGAGCAGCAACTCTGTAGAAATAGAGATGAAAATTCCTCAAATTTCTGGGAGATGAGAAGCTACATTTTCCCTGCCGGTCATCAGTTCAGAGACCGTGATGGGGGAGGGGAGCACCGTCTGTGGTGCTGACAGTATTTGAGCAGTAGCTGATCAATTATTTTTCTATCTCTAAGCACATCTCCCTCTCTAGACAGAGACATAGTTACATTAAAAGGCATGAATTTATAAACAAAATGAATGGTTTCATGCTATGGAATATTATTTTAAGATATGTTACATTAGTTTATGCTGTGGAACATTTGCCTTAATGATGCAAAGATGTATTGCACTCTTTTATGTTGCATTTGTTTAACTCTGTGAAGCTGTGTTGCTTTGCCTGTCTAAAACATCTGATTGGTCTAATAAAGAGCTGAACAGCCAGTAGCAAGGCAGGAGAATGGATAGGAGGGGCACGTACACACATCTGCACATATACACCTGCAACCTGTTTGCTTCATTAAACCTTCGTTGGAACATAACCTACATAAACCTTTTGTGGGAGGGTAGAGGTTGCTCAGGGGCTAAGAGCAACGAGTGTGCAAACATGAGGACCTGAGTTCAGATACCAGCATCCACATAAAAGATTTGTATGTGTGCACCTATAATGATAGTGTTAAGGGACTGGAGACAAGAAGCTCACTGGGGTTTTACTGGCTGACAACCACCAAGGGAATAAAGAAGAAAGAGAGAGAGAGAGAGAGAGAGAGAGAGAGAGAGAGAGAAAGAGCAGAACATTCAACATCCTCCTCAGGCCTATACTTATAGGTGCAAGTATGTGTACCCATATACACAGTGTGAATACAACACACATACACACACACACACAGACACACACACTATTAAGGCTCAGAAACTCACAGGTCTCCAAGCATGCAACGGGCAACACCTTAAAAAAACTCAGCAGCTGTAACTCTGTCCAGCTGCTTGCTTACTTTTTGGCCGTACAGTTTGTGGCCTTCTCTGTTTTACTCTTTTTTTTTAAAAAAAAAAAACAAAAAAAACAAGAGGTTTATTTAAACAACAAGACGCTTGACTTGAAGGGAAAACTATCTAGGATCATTTTGTTCAAGAGTAATTTATTCCTACTTAAAGATAGATTGTCCTACATGTAACAGCTACGTACAAAAAAAGTTATAAAATTGTCCTTGGTTTTACAATGATAAATGAAAAACATTAAAATTCTCCAATCGAACAAGGTATGCAAGGATTTTGTGGTTGGGTTCTTTTGTTAAAACATTGAGAGCAAAATAACTTACTGGAATATGAAGACGAGAGCTGAATGAGCATGCCACTAATGGAGCAGGGGGTATTTTCACAGAACCAGTACTTCCCCCGACCACCTCCATCTGATGTCAATCAAAACAGAACATTGGCAATTTAGTTTAAAAAAGAAAAAGAAAAAAAAAGAAAAAAAGAAAAAAGGAAAAAGCGCAATATGCTTGTGCGTGTACACCAGTTACTTTATGTACAATAAAGAAATGGGGACAGGGAAATGAAAAAATAGAGAAAAGTATACTGTATTAGTCAGGATGTGGTGAAACCAAATTGCGGCTTTCTAATTGCGAATGTATTCTTGGTCTATAACAAAATTCTGGAGTAAAATAGCAGGTTCCCTTTTTAGTAGACACCTCCTGTCAGCTGCTGGAACACATCAATCGTATCTTCATCCTCCATTTCCAACAGTGCAGGTGTGTCTGCTTCATAGATTGGCTGTCCATCAAACCGGAATCTGGTCTGCCTCATTGACAAACCCTGTCGTTCACAATAGGCTTTCATTAGTTTACTAAGTGGTATATGCCTCTTAATTTTAATCTGCACGACAGAGCCATCCTGCCCCGCCACCTTCAAATTAATATGGTCGTTGTTCTTGGTCTTGACTCCTTCCTTGGGTTTCTCGTCGGCCATGGCGAACGCCGGAGTCTCCTCAGCTGCCGCTTCACTAAAGAGGCACCAGGTCCGCCTCCGTTTTACTCTTGACAAGTTGTAACCTTTCTTTTTTCCTACAAAGTGAAAATAATAAAATTAATTATTCAGAGATATAAATGGAATTCTCTAAGCTTTATATGTCAGCCATATTCAGATACTGTTTTCAAACTTCAGATCCTAGAAATGAAGAAAAATTCTAACAACCAGTTTAGTCACGTGAGGGTTCATGGGGGTCCAGCCTCAACGAAATTCACACATTCCAAGGTAGAAGCATGAGGATTAGAATTATTGAGCAAAGGGAACAGAGATATGAAGGAAATAAAAGGCAGAGACACAGAACTGCATCAGGAGGAAAATTCAGTATATACTGAATTTATTTATTTTCCACATGCATATACACTTCATTCCAAAAGGGGAGGGAGAAGGCAACAGACTTCATTGACATGATATAAGGAATTATCAAGTATCTAGTGGCTTTGATTGGTGAGTTTTTCCCCTTCTGGTCAGCTTAACTTTTTCTCTGGACCCCAGGATTTAACCATTGGTCTCCTGGCAACCTTATAGTGTTCCTAGAAATGAGGGGGAACCTTCAAGGCTATGGTTGAGCCCTTCGCTGACATTCATCTCTGGTTATTTCCCATGGCTAAGGACTGAGATTTGACTCCTCACCACTCAATTTTGTCCTCGTCTCTCAGACTGTTGTCCTCTCTCGGACCACTCAGAGTGGTTCTATCCAGTCCTCAATTCCTGTACCGACGCATATCAAATTGACCTTGACCTAGCCCTCGACCCTCGCTTTATCCCAAAGATGTTCATGGTTAACTGTCATTAGGTCCTCGTCTTTTTCACATTCTTAGCCATGGGAAATAAACCCTCAAACACTATCAGTCCACCTTCCTCCCTGGGATGTTTTCTAGAGACCCTAAAACCTCAAATCTTAATGCTTTACTCACAAATTCCCAAGATTATCCGCCTTTGGACTAAGAAATGCCCTAAGTACACATAAGATAATACCCGAAAGTGGCCACCTAGCAGCACCTTAGATCCCGATATTCTGAGGGAGGTTTCTAACTTTTGTTAGCGCACAGGCAGATGGAAAGAGTTATCTTATATCCAAGTCTTTTTCTATCTAAGTTCTAAGCCCTCTGTCCTTGCAAGCTGTTCACCTGCTCACATGTTCCTGACTATGCCAACTAAGCCTATAGGAACATCCGCTTCTACTCCTGAGAATCGGGTTCTTCCAAACGGGAATCACAAGCCTTTCTCCCTGTTCCACACAAAAAGGCAAAGGATATAAGAAGAACCAGGGAGTCAAAATAACTAAGAACATTTTATACAAACTATTCTTTTGAAGAATAAGAGAGGCAGACAGGAAGATGGGAACTTTAGGGAGGAAAATGAACGGAATCCTTATGACAGCAAGAAGTTGTTAGAGTTGGAGAGAACGCCCTTGATGGAGCAAGACTGAATGAGGAAAGGCATCTGAGACTAAGGGTTGTCTCTGAAGTTGTAAGGTAAAACAAGAGATCTGATGTTGGCAGGAGGGAGGGGGCGGGAAGATGCCTCAGTAGTTAAGAGTGCTTGCTGCTCTTCCAGGAGACTCAGGCTCAATTTCCAGTGCCACTTAGAAGCTTACAACTCTCTGCAATTTCAGAGGCAAGGGGTTTGACACCCTCTCCTGTCCTCCTTACACACCAATCAAGTATGTGGTGCAGACAGACAGACAGGCAGACAGATAGAGAGGGGTGGGCAGGAAAAACTCTCAAACATACAAAAATAAATTAAAGTAAGAGGGGGTGGGGATTTGGTTTTCCTGTTGGAAAAGGGATAAGATGGACGGGGTGATATGTGGAAGACTGGGTTACACTGGTGAGAGGCAATCACTAACAACCCTGCTCGGAAAGGGAGAAACAGTGTCCCATGCTAAGACAGAGAGACCAGCAGAGGAGGCAGGTCTGCTGCCGAAACAGATACCACTGGAAACTTCACCAAGCGTCTTCTTAAAGAACATCTGGATAGAGGAGTCTTTGAGAGCTGCGTGAAGACATCCAAGTCTGCAGAAGAGGAAGCTAACAGGCAAGTCTGAGGGTTCCTGTTTAGAGATTACGGGTAGGAGCAGATAAGAGTGCCTGGGGAGACTGATCACCCTGCACATTTTCCAAGGCCGTTTGAAAAGTTGGTGACAATAATCTGAAAACTCACAGTTAATGCCTCAATCACCTTAAGCCAAGAGTTGGGTTTGGCTAGTATCTCAGTCCCTTCAGTATCTTAATCTGTTTTCTCTCTTCCCTGAAGATAATTTTTACTCTCAACTGATTTAAAATTTTATTGCTATTATTATATTGTTGTTGTTGCTATTATATTTATCTGGGGATGGGAGAGTGTCGCACACACCATGACACATACATGGAGGCCACAAAAGAACTTACAGGAGTCAGCCCTCTTTTTTTCCCTTCGTGTAACTCCCAGGAATTGAACTCAGGTCATCAAGCTTGGCAGCAAATGCCATTTAACTGGCCATCTACCAGCTTTTAATTCATTCTCCTTTATCATTCCTCTGTATGTAGGGCTGACGACTCTGCTACACTATTTATTAGCATCTTCCCTTTACATAACTTTCTCCACATTTTAAACTCTGTACCTTGTTTTATAATTGAGATTAGCTCCCCCTCCACACACACACACTGTTCTCATTTCTCTAGTTTAGTCTGTTCTCTTTAGTTAACTTGCTGTTTTTGGTTTTTACAACTTAAATTTGAATCTAAACCTTCCTTTTCTGCCCTTTCTGCATATTCTGTTTTAGCATTCTTTCATGTCATAGGAAGTCTTGTTCACCATGGACAAAGAAGGAGATTCTCTCGCCAAGTCCTCTTCAAAGGTCTTCTCCAAGGGTTTTATCAATTTCAGTTGTACTCGCCATACCCAACCAAGGGGAAAGTAGCTAAAGGGGATCAGTTCTCCTCAGTACTGTACCCAAAATGGTGATATTAGGATTCCATGTCTATTTAGTTAAGACTAACAATCACTCAGAGCCCCAGATTTGATGGCTCCATCTGGAGTTCTCAGCTTCCCTTTCTTGATGTACAATCCGTACTCAAGAAAATCTCAATGAGCCTGAATTTGATTTCTATGTTGCTTGTGTCTCCTGAAAACAATTCAGAAGCTGAACATAGTCTGGCCATCTATGGGGAGAGGTGGGAGAAAAGAAAAGAATGGGTGGTTGGAAAGATGGATGGATGGATGGTTGGAGGGATGGATGAACAAATGGGCAGACAGATAGATAGGCAAACAGACTGGTAGGTGGATGGGTGATTATATTGGTATGTGGGTGAGTCAGTGGATGTGTGGATAGATAGATGGGTAGATGTATAGACTGGCAGTAGATGGATAACTAGATGGTTGTGTTGGTACATGAATGACAAATTGGTGAACAGGAATGGAGGTAAAAGGAATGAAGGTTCTTCTCTGTAACGACAGAGAAATAAAACTACTTAGAAAATAGGTCATTGAAATCTATATTACTGGGGCTGGAGAGATGACACAGTGGTTAAGATCAGTGACTGTTCTTCCAGAGATCCTGAGTTCAATTCCCAGCATCCACATGGTGGCTCACAACTCCAGTTCCAGAGGACCTGACACCGTCACAAAGACACATGCAGGCAAAACATCAGAGCACATAAAATAAAATAAATTAATTTAAAAAGAAGAAGAAATACGTATCACCTTATGTACTTCTGATTTGTCTCCTCCACTCATTTGTAAAGACTGTTTCTGGGTCATTGAAGATAGAAAATAACATGAAAGACAATTGGTAATAACCTGAACTCATATCTGATGTGAATCGGTGGGACTCTGAAAGAGTATCAAGTCACTGCCTAAGAGTGGGCATGCTTGCACCTCCAATATTTGTCAATGTCTGTGAGCTGCTTGCCTGGCCCCATCTCCTTTTCCCGTCTCCAGCACCATCTTCCCACACTGCTATCTCTACACCATGCACCTATTTATGGAGCTTATTGAGTTGACATTCCCTTGCTGTCTTTTCTCTCGTCATCTATTTTTATACCCCCTTCCACACATTTCCCCTAATGCCACATTTCATTGTTCCTATGTGATCTCTAGCAAATGTGTGTAAATTTTTCACTTTCTTATCAGGCTCCATCCTGAGAACACATTTGTGTGACATATAATAAGATTTTAACCTAGGATGGACCACGTTAAGACAGACATCACATAGGCTGATATGACCAGTGAGTGACCCAATAACTGGGATCTATAGGGGCAGAGCACTCTACAGTGTCAATCAATAAAGAACTCACTTTCTGGCACATTTCCCAGAAATTCATCCCCATTATTAAGTGACACATGGCTATATATTAAACCAGACTGATTTAGATAAACTCTGCTTAGGAATCTCCTGTTCTTGCCTCTAATCTTCATTTTTATGACTTTGTACCCTTTAATTACCCAAAAGCTCTTCTATTTGGAGACTCACCCTCCTTTTCTTCTTGTCTTCCACTGGGGACAGAAACCACAAAATGAATAAAAGTGTGTGTGTGGGTGTGTGTGTGTGTGTGCACACGCACATGAGCACATTGGAAATGGTGAGGCAAGAAGGGTGAAGACAGGAAAACAGCATCAGTGAGGTAATTTGCAATCTAAGAATATATTTCCCTTCTGCAAAAACTTCTGGCAGTCTGGGCCTCTCATCAGCATCTCTTCCATTTATCCTCTGAGGAGACCTGTGATTGTTGGACACTGAAGAGAGACATGGCAATGACCGAATCAGACAGCGATGAGGCAGAGACCTCCAAGCACTCTTACAGGGTGCTGGCCCTCAGCACCTCATCTGAGATATTTGCTCCCACCCATCTAGAATATTGCTCTGTCTGTTTTCTCTCTGCTCAGCCCTCTTACTTTCTTCTCATTTTTTGGTCCCCAGTGTTGTTCTTCTACAACATAAAGCATCACGCATGCCTCGGCCCTTTTCTTCCTTGTTTCATCTCTGAGCTTCCTTTGACCCTAGAGCTCTAATCTCCATGTGACAGGCTCCAATTCTACCATCTCCACCTTTGTATCAGGCCCAGCACACATCTCATGTTCCCTAGATCTCCCATGAGAACCATGTTCAGGGATCCTAGCAACCCCATAATCCTCCCAGCCTCACACAACATCACCACAGTCTGTCCTGAGGGATGCTAGCCCTTTGCTCAAGCTTGACTTTGGCCTGACCACGTTACGTATGTCTTTGCATCTGCTTAACATACAAAATGGAATGAAGCAGAATTTGCCCTCTCAATTTGCAAGCTTGTGGAGATAAATGAATCGATTTGTGGAAACTCTTTGAATAACCACTCAATCCAAAATCAGGGTTTTGGCAAGCTCAAGGCTTGAGTGGGAGCTGAACCTCAGTTGGGCTGCTGTTTCCTTGCAGAGCAGGTAATAGAAGCAGACATGAACCAGTGAGAAGGGAAAAAAGCGATTAGGAATCTGAATTGTGAGCCAAGCTGCAGGTGCATCCTGGACTCTGGTGTTTCTGGGCAACCTTCTAGGCCCTTTGGTACCCTGGAAAGTTAGAGACAGCAGTGAGAAGGTAGCAATCATGGTTTGTATCTCTTCAAAAATGTCAGAGGACAGTGAAAGTCAATTCCAGGTTAAAACAAAGGCAGAAAATGTTTTTACAAATGACACAGCTATGTCAAGAAAGGCAGGGGGCCTTCTGTAGAAAAAAGAAAATTTTATAGATGCAGGAAGGAGGCAGGGAGGGAAGGAGGGAAGGAGGGATGGAGGGAGGGGAAAAGTCAACACCTTTCAAGGATGCAGGAAAGAAGAAAAAGGGAGGAATGCAGGTAGAGAGGGAAATAGAGAGACTTTGCTTGAATTGAGTCAAGGAAGACACTCTGGTTATAGAGAAGCTTCCTCTTCCTGAAGGCAGAGCAGGGCTTCCCAAGGCAGAATGGGGTGGGTGAAATGAAACACTGCTTTCTGAAAGGCAACACAGGAAGTGGCTGCCAGTGACCCTCGGGTGGCCGGTGAGGATTGAAACACCAACTCCGAACCTTCAAGAACTGCATTTCAAAGTGACCAACTGATACAGATGGAGAGACAGGACCCAGAAGACATGAGGGAAGAAGGGAAAGACACCTAAGAAACGTAGAAATATTCTTCACCAGGAGTCTGATGAGGGTGTACCATCTGGAAAGTCCTTTAGAGGTAGGGGAGCTGAAAATCTGAGCCCACAGGGGACCAGTAGGAACTACAGAGGCTGTTCTCTACCCAGGACCTGCTGACTTCACATTCCTGCGACATGTCAGCCCCTCAGTTCTAAAAATCCACCTTCTTTTCATACTCTAAGTAGACACAGAGTGCCCTCTCTGGTGCCTGGGTCCAACAGGGGTTTCCCTTGTGATCTCTCTGTTCGTCAAAGAAGGAAGTTGATGTAGGACTCCACTGAATGGTAAATTTTCTGATACAAGGAACACATTTTGATTGTTGAGCATGTCTGTAAGCACCAGAGAGCACGCTCCTTTCTAAGGAAGTTCACCATTCACAGTGTGTCTTAATATGAAACTCAGGTTCACATGAACACTTATCCCTGTGTTACTTGGCCTATGTGTAAGCTCCTGACTACATGGGCCATGTGTATTTCCTACATTACACATCCTACATTTCCTACATTCCTACATCCCTGTGTTTGGCATGTCACAGTCCCTCAATAAATTCTATGTCAACTATCAATGAAAAAAATGAATGAGTGATTGAATGAATGAATGAAATTGTCTTGAACTCCTGGAAGCAGGTGAGAGCTATAGTTACCATTTGGGAAGTTTCTGAAAGTCTCCTTTAAATCTGGATAGGCCTTCAGATGCGTTGGGCTGAATATCAATTTCAGAAGCGACAGGGTAAACTTGTTCTGTAGGTCACTGAGGATGTCATATACCACTCTTCCAACCGGAATCTGCTTTTCACAATTTTGCTGATAATTCTTAAAAATATTAAAGGAAGAATTATGTCACAATGGATTTATGAATTTATAAGAGAGGCTTAGAGTGGTTCAAATGCCATTTGATTTCTTGTGAAGTCTCTGAGTTTTGCATTGATCAGATGGCATCTTACATGTCCTCTTTGTAATGACAGACCCATGCTTATCTGAGAGCAGCTCTGATGCTGACACACAGTTGACAGGAAAGAGCAGCTCTGAAAAATGATCAAAGGATGTGTCTATAAGAACCAGACCAAGATACTCTACTGTGGCCCTAACAGGGACCAGACAGTAACTCCCCGGAGACTGACCTGGTCTGCAGGGCTCAGGGCAACCAAGTGATCATCTGGCCACTGGGCAAAGACAATACACAAAGAAGAGAAGGCTTGTCGTCATTATCTCCAGGGGACCCCATCACCAACCTTTACTACATTCTAGGGCCTCAGTGGCACCTAAACAACAAGAAGCAAGTATGACTTCCGGTTCTATTCTCACGTGACCCAACTGCCTGTGACTTTCAAAACTCTCAGGCTCAGGATTTGGAATAAGTAGGCAGGCTTTGTAAAGAAGCCCTGCTTGTCCATTCTCATTCTAGTTTCTGTTGTTACACTGTTCAAGTAAACCTGGGGTGCTCGGCCCTTTAGGGCATTCCCACACCCCATCCGCTGTCACCATGTGCCTCAGCCCCGGTTACTGCAGAGACCGATAGGAATGTTTCCTGTGATGCCCACTTTTCCTGTCACCTCTGACGTCCAAGAAGTGAAGGTCCCCACTCCTTGGACGCCCTTCAGCCTGTGGGCAGCATCCTGAGGTTCAAAGGAATACAACACAGGGCAGGCTTACTGTCAGGGCTGAGTTCCTTCTCCTCACTCACCCGGAACTTCTGCTCAGAGATGTAGCCGCGGTCTCGGAGACTCATAAGGAAAGGAAAGGGGTCTGTGATGGCGCTCGCGATTTCCACCTTATTTTCTCTGAAGTGCTTGAAGATGAGCCCATAGTCAGCTGACTCCTCTTCGCTCAGGTACCCTGAGCTTGTCCTGAGGGATACATTTCATGAAGAGGTAGAAACTGGTTTACAAGAGGCTACCAATGCCTGGAAAACTTCTGGTATGAAGGACGGTCCACTAAAAGGAACAAATTTGAAGTACAATTAAAATTTTAAAACTTTAAACATCTAAAATGGTGGTGCAAGTTGTGATGCTTTGAGTTTTATTTGTGTGAGACAGGCTACCACCTGTAAGTCTGGCTTGTGTGGAATTTGCTATGTAGACCAGGCTAGCCCCAGAGATTCACCTGCCTCTCCCGAGTGCTGGGATTCAAATCATGCTCCACCATGCCAAACACAATGATTAGTTTTAATTGTCAACCTGACATTCTCTAAAACCATCAGGGATTGTATGAGTCTTAAAAGATGTCTAGATTAAGGTGGTCTATGGATCCATCAGTCTGAGTTGGTCTTCATTATGCTAATTGCTATGGGAAGATCCAGCCCACTGTGGGCAGTATGAACTCCTAGGTAGGGGATCCTGGGCAGCCTTAAGTGTCAGGAATAAGTTGAACACTCACAGGCACTCTTACATTCTCTGCTCTGGATTATGGGTATGACCAGCAGCTTCAAGGAAGCGTTGCAAGGAAGCCTAGACTTCCCTGCAATGATGAACTGTAACCTGGACCTATGAGCAGATAAGTTCTTTCTCCACCAGGTCCCTTTGTGTCAGGGTCTCTTATCACAGCCGCAGAAATGAAACAATCCATCGGCGGCAGGGTACAGGGAAACAGCAAAGACTGGTACACCCTCTTCTTCCAGCTCATGTGGGAAGGCAAAATTGGTAAGCGGTTGATCTAGGACCAAGAAAGCGTTCTACTTAAGTGCACACTGTGTGGCTCATCCTCTATTGCTCCACGTGCTTTCTTCTCTCCTCCTTGCTCCCCACCTCCCTTCAGTGATATGGGAGGGGGTCTCTCTAACAACTCAGAACCAGTGCTTAACAACCATGCTATCCTTGCCTGCGGTGCCTGATATCGTAGGTGGCCGCTGCTCTCTGCCCAAAGACAGAATCCAGGGAAAGGACCCTCTAGGGAAGGGAGGCCCAGGAGCCCAATAAGACACGGAAGTTGTTTGTTCATGTTATTGACCCCATTCTGGTGGACAAATGGAAACAAATTATATTGTATAGTACAATAACAGAAGCAAGAATCCTGGGCATAGTACAAGTGTCTGTAGTCATGGCATCCTGGAGGCTGAAGCAGAAGGACCATAGTGATTTACTTCCTTTATAATTTTACTGAGTATTTACACCATCACAGTATTAGCACACGCAGAGGTCAGAGGATAACTTTGTGGAGTTGGTTCTCTCTTTTCACTCTTTTACGGGTTCTGGGCATCAAACTCAGGTTGCCTAGTTTGCCTGGGAAGCTCCTTTACCCACTGAGACATTTGTTAGCCCTTACCTAGAGACTTTGAGGGTGGCCTGGGCAATATAGCAAGGCCCCGCCTCAGATAATGAAAAAAAGAAATCAATGCCAAACAGTAAATTTTTACTGCAAAACAAGTGGCAGGAGGGCTGGTGAGAGGGTTCCGTGGACAAAGAGCTTGCCCTCTAGTGTGGACCTGAGCTCAACCCTGAAACCCACAAGGCAGAAGGAGAGAACCAGCTCCTGCAAGTGGGGAAGGAGACAAGTTAAACTATGACATGTAAGTATGAAGAAGCCTTGATGAGACCCAGTATTTTGTATGCTAACCTAAATAATTAATTAAAAATAAAACTAAAAAAAAATAGGGTACATCTTTCTTTTTGCCTTTTGCTTACTTAAGAAATTTATCACGTTTTTGAAAATTTCAAAATGAATGCTGTATTTATATCATTTCCCCTTTCCCCTTCAGGTCCCCCAGTGCTCTCCTTTTCCAGTCCCTCTCAAATACCTTCTTTAATTATACACACACACACACACACATACACACACACAAATACATATACAGAGATAGGTAGATGATAGACAGACAGACAGACAGACAGAGACAGACAGACAGACAGACAGACAGATGATAGAATCTGCTGAGTTCTTTTCATGTTGCTCCTATGCATATGTGTTTAGGGCTGACCACTAGGGACTGGGACAACCTAACAGAATTAGATTATCCCTGGAGGATACTGGTTGATTCTCCCCTTCTCAGCAGCCATCACTTCCCTGTAGCTCTTCATCTAGGGGTGGGGCCTTGTGAGAGCCCCTCCCTCATCCACACCAGCACATCAAGTGGTACTGTCACTGAGGGTACAACTTTTTTTTAAATGTCACTTAAATGCTAAATCATTGTGAATGATGACTTTCGGGGTGTATTCTGAGCAATCCTGACACTGCTCAAGGCTTCTTCAGATGTCACTGAGGACACGCCCTGCTGAGACTAATACTGAAATACCCGCCCTTTGTCTCTTTCCTCCTCCTGAAAGTATCCAGTGGGCTTCTCAGAGGTTCTCTGGGCTACGGCATCACAGCAGATTAGACACAGATGTAACCAGGAAAGTCTGGGAACCTTGCCTAAGCAGGAGAGTGAAAACATTTGAAAGAAGGTAAAGCAAGGTTACATCCTCTCCTTTATTGTTATTTTCCATAAAAATAAGTTACTGTGATAGTGATAGGTCTGTTGCTACTACTTTTACGAATAAATATTCTAAAAGTATGAAGTTTATAACTAATGGTAAATCACATTAGATTTAACCCAGAAAACTAGCTTTAGATATTCCTCATAATTTTTAAGGGAAAAAAGGGGTGTGGTTATGCACACCTCTAATCCCAGCACTTCACGGGTGGAGGCAGGAGGTTCACCATGAATTCAAGGCCAGCCTGGTCTACATAGTGAATTCCAGGCTAGTCAGGGCTACATGACAAACACAAAGGATATCAAAGATATCCAATATCAAAAAACTTCAGAAGCACTATGTTTCACAAAGAGTCTATATTTCACATGTAATAAAATAACAAAACTATACAATAATTTTTACCTTAAACTTAAGGAGATTGTGTGTGTGTGTTCATGTGTGTATGTACTCGTACTCATGTTTATGAGCCTGGTGTTGGGGTAAGGGGTCCACGTGCTCTCACCTTTTTTTTTTTGAGACAAGGTCATTCACTGAACCTGAATATCATTAATTTAGCCAGATTAGTGGCCAGTGAACTTCAGAGATCCAACTGTGTCCACTGCCCTAATTCTGGAGTTAAAAACACACACCACCACATCCAGTTCTAGGGATCTGAACTCAGCTCCTCATAAGTGAACTGGAGCAAAACCAGGAGTTACAGCTGAATTATTTCACAGAAGGTAAATTAAAACAGTACAGTTTCACACTGGATGCTGTGACCAAACTAGAGAAATGCAGCAAATTAATCAGAAACCCAAACGCCAAGGTGTCAAAACTAAACTACAAATACCACACAACAAAGAACAGAGAAGAAAACAGACGGTTTAGCAAAAACAAAGAGCTGTATGCTACAAAGGTTTCTCCAAAAATCATTCTCAAGAGGATACCCAGAAGAAATCTCCAGTACTTCAGAAGAAAAAGAAAAAAGAAAAACAAAGCAAGACAAAAAAAAAACTGATGAACGAAATCAAGGAAAAAGAATCATAAAGTGCTGTTGACTGAAGCCAAAAAACTCGAAAAGAAAGTGTAGTGATATTTTGTTTGTGTTTTAATAAACAAAGCTTGTCTAGAGGTAAGAGCGCAGAGCTAAACCAGTCCAGGCGGTGGTAGCACACTCCTTTAATACCAGAGGTTGGGAGGCAGAGGCAGAGGGCTCTCCGCTAGTTCAGGCCACCCTGGACCATATAAGATCAAGTCAGTCTAAAAGAGAAGCAGAGCCAGGCGGTGGTGGCTCACACCTTTAATCTCAGTACTTGAAAATCACATGCCTTTAATCCCAGCACTAGAGCAGTAGAGACAGAAAGGGATATGGCTAGGCAGAGAGAGAAATATACAGTGGGAGAGACAGGAGAGTGGATGCAGTCAGAGGATGCTGTCTGGAGACAGAGGTAAAAGGTCTCTCTTTTGTAGCTAGCTGCACTGCTTCTCTGATCGCTCAGCTGTCACCCCCCTACTATCTGAACCCAGGTTTTTATTGAGAACAATTTAAGTTGGTACTACAAGAAAGGAAGACTGAAAAAAGTAAAATGAAAGCATTCATAAACATAGTAGATGTTACCCTGTGTTCATAATCGGTCTAAATGTGAATGATCTAAACATAACCATTGAAAACAGAATACATTTGAAAACTGCCACTAATGTTGTAAATATAATAGAGCCATTTTAGGGGCTGGTGAGACGGCTCAGTAGATAAAGGCCCTGCACCAGGTCTAAGCGAGGACCTGAGTTTGATCCCCATAAATTCATCAGAACTACATGGTGGAAGGAGAGAACCAGCTCCCACAAGCTGTCCTCTGAGCTCAATATACACACTGTGGATACAGTATATGCACCTGCACAATACAATAAATGAATGTAATTTCAAGAAAAAAAACCCACGGGTGTAGACAGGTAAAAAATATCGCCTTTTCTCCTGCCCTGAAGTTAAAAAAAAAAAATTAAAGCTGAGATACACCAAAGACAGTGGCTCGGGGGAAATGTATAGCTATAAATGTATGCATCAAAAGCTAAGAGAGGTGTACATGAAAATCTTCTGAAGAATCAGGAAAAATAAGAAAAGCAATTTTATCCCAAATGAAAACAAAAGATGTAATAAAAATATAAGTAGAAATCCATAAAATTAAAATAAGCTAGCATTATTCTTACACCAAAGTGGTGTGATTATATATCACACCAAAAAAACTACTCCTTTGGAAAGACCAGTAATGTTATCTTTACCGTTTTAATTATATCTCTAGTCAGGTTAACAAGGAAAAAACAAACAAACAACAAAATGCAAGCTAAGAATTCCTCAGACATTGAAGGGCAGCAGCGTCGATAGAGCAGCCATCCCTGTATCTGCAGATTGGATGGCAGCAGCAACAAAAATGACCAAATGTATTTAAAAGCAGAAACTACCAAAATTCATGCTCTGAGAGATGTGTCACCCAAACATACTTGTATTAAAGAAACTGAACCAGTAATTTATAACACCCCACTCCCAAAAGAGAGAGCAGTCTGTCGGCATCCCTATAGGACTTGACCAAATTTCATCGGAGAAGCGATGCTTTCTTAGAACTGTTGCAGGACCAGAAGTAGCCTTGACTGAGTCCCTGTTAGAGGACAATTAGCTCCATACACTTTTATCTTAATCCTTCTATTTTCCTTTGCAACTATGTATATGTGTGTCTGTCTTGATGTGTGTCTCCTGCATGGAAGCACAGTGCCTGTGGAGGACTTAAGGGGATGTCTGGTCTCCCTGGGCTGGAGTCAGAGGCAGTTGGAAGCCTCACGATGGGTGCTGGGGACCCAACCCTTGCCCACTAATAGAGCATTATGAACTTTTTTAACAGTGGACTCTCCAGTCTCTCTCTCTCTCTCTCTCTCTCTCTCTCTCTCTCGTGTGTGTGTGTGTGTGTGTGTGTGTGTGTGTAAGATAAGATAATTTCGATCCATTTCTAATCACTAGATAACCAGCAAAGATTTTTTTTAAAAAGTTAAAGGCGTAAAGGCAATACCCACTCCCCACCTGCTTCCATTAGTCATTGGTTTTCACCACCTTTCCCTCCCTCCATATCAGTGATGGAACTCCTGAACTGACCTCAGCCACACAGGAGGACTCAGAGTGAGCTGTCCCCTCACTCAGACTGAGAAAAACTTGCCAACAGAAGGAATTAAGTTTTCACTTTTTCTAAGTGATCATTTTTGGACAAATTTATCTTTTAGAATGATAATTAGGAAGAGATGAGAGGTCAGAGCATTTATGAGCCAGACACTCCTACAGGAGCTCCCAGAAGTCCACACAGGGTCAGTCCAGTTATGTGACAGGAGCAAGGAAATGAAGTGAGGTGAGTTGAGGTGGCTATAGGACTCTCCAATAGCTAGCCAACAGCGGTGACAACTGCTTGTCCCCATTCTTAATCTCCTTGTGATCTCATTGTCTCAAGCTCCCGTGGACCCATGGACCCAGCCTGGAAGGCCCTAGTAACACATACAAACATAGATCTTAACAGAGACACAGGACAAGGGGAGGGGAAAGGACTTACCTGCTGCTGGATCCATTGTCCCCTCCTGCCATCCCCTACACAGCCCTGAAGGTGCCCTTGTACCACCTCGGAGCCTCTGGGAAGTTCAGAGACAACTCTTTCCAGGCCCTTCAAAGAGGAGGAGAAAGAAAGTGAAACTGCTCAGCTGTGACTAACGTGGTTTGGTCCCCTGGAGGGCTTTCCCCGCCCCTGCCCTTCCCGGCACTCCCCCCTCCCTGCCCTGCTTCTGCTCAGTCTCTTCCCCAGCCTGGAGGAGCAAAGACTACTGAAGTTTCTGGAAAGCTGGGATCCCTGGTTCACTCCAAGGAAAGGTAGTCTGTCAGCTCAGAGCTCAGAGCTGTCTGAGGAGAGGTGGTTGCAGAAAATGGGAAGGAAGTGGCTCTTTTGTCCTTAGCTGGGGTGGTGCCTGGAAGGACAAGGAAGAGTAGGTTGTCCACATCTCTCAGACTTGTGGCTATCCTGGCACCCCAGAGAGCAAGAGCTGTAGAGTTAGACCTGATATTTGAGCCCCAGGCTCAGAAAAGTCTGAAGGTGTGGCCTCCTAAAGTTTTGGGAGCTTCTGAATGTAGTCAGAAGCAAGAAAACCCTCTCCTCTGCTTACTCCAAACAAGGGCAGGGCAGAGAATCCAGGCAGGATAGGTTGTTCAACTGTGCCCTTGACAGCTGGGCAACAAAGGGCTTCAGCAATTTCGCTGTCTTGAAAACAAGAGATTTCTTGTAGGCTGCAGAAGGAGTTCATAGCTAGGGCTACAGCCTGTCAAGGACAGGACCGATCTGAAGGGTGGGTGCGTTACATTTATTCTATACAACTTTATCACTTACACCTAAGCCTCCTTCTGTAAGATAGAAAACTAGTTTCAAGAGGAAAGGTAACGAAAGAGGAGTAAGGGACAAAAAGGGACAGTGGCAGCGCATGCCTCCATTCCCAGCGCTCGAGAGGCAGAGGCAGGCAGATCTCTGTGAGTTTAAGGCCAGTCTGGTAAACAGAGTGAGTTTCAGACAGCTGCGGCTACACCGAGAAACCTTGTCTCAAAACACTAATAAAAAGAAAGGAAGGAAGAAAAGAAGGAAGGAAGGAAAGAAGGAAGGAACGAAGGAAGGAAAGAAAGAAGGAAGGAAAGAAGGAAGGAAGGAAAGAAGGAAGGAGAGTAAAAATGCAAATAAAATAAGCAAACAACAAATATAAGACTGAAAATACAAGCAAAACATGGTGTCAAAGACAAGGTGGATGTGGCTGAAGGCCTGTGCTGAAATCAAGGCTCGGACCTCTGCTGAAGAAGAAAATTTCTGACCTTCAGGAACAGGTCCCAAGAGTACAACGATAAGCAAACGAAACCGTACACCAAAAAGTACACTTAACGAATATTTATTTATATGACATTTTCATACCAAACTTAGCTGTGCAACAGTCGATCTGTGGTTACCTGGGACTGTAGTTCAGGAGGGCTTTTCTTTGCCAAGAAGAGGGTCTTTTGTCGGACAGGGGTGGAGGAGGAGATGACTTGTGTCTTCCTTGTGGCATGATTTTATTTGGTGAAATTCACCAAAATATCGCTATAGATGAATGCATTTACATATCTATAAAATTGTGCTAAAATATGTAGTCTTACTAGACTCTCACTTGATGTAAAAGAGCAGACAAGGTTTTAACATTATTACTATATTCTTGACTATGTTTGGTGTATAATGACGTCTTTTGTCCTTATTTATATTTGTCTACTGTAATGGCTTTTCTTGCTCTAAATAGGTTTCTTGGGGTGGGGCATTTTTCTGGCCCACAAGCCTGCCCTCATGCCCCCACACACCCTGCATGAACTTGAACTTGAGGTGTTTCCTCTCCTCTCTCAGTTCCCATCCCTGGGACAGTCTGGGTCAAGTCTGCTGCTCTGATTGTGCTTGGCTGGAATATGACTATCTATGCCCTCAAAGGAAGTACAGAGGGGCCCTCTCCTGTGTGGGCTAGCCTTGGTCTCCGAGGGTCAATACATTTGGGAAATGTGAGAGAGTTACACAGAACTCTCAGTTGAAGGCTTCTCAAAGACCCCGGTTCAGGCTCCTCAGGGATCTTCAAAGGGTTGTGCAGCCCGGGTCTGCCTGGCTTCACCTGCTGGGGATGGGTGGGGGTGGGGTTCACTTCCTGGTACTGAAGGACCTGGATTCTCAGCAGCGCCTCTGTAACCCAAACTACTAACCCTGCTGGGGATCCTCACCAGGCCCGGAGGGAGGAGGGCGGGGCCGGGGGTGGGGAGGACAGAAGTGGCGCGCTCTCTTCCTGCTCTGTGTGCTAGATCACTTTCGGTTTTCTTTTCTGGAAACCCAACGCGGCAAGGCCAGGGCAGCAAGATTTCCCGGAAGGCGTCTCCCGGCAGGTTCCAGGATCTCCTTAAAGGATCCCTGGCCGCTTTAGTGAACCTAGGGGACAGGGGACAGCCCAGCATCCAGGTGCGTTCTGCTCTTGGGCTCTGCAAAGCTGGAGTCTTCATTCTTGGGGATTAGCTTTTACTTGTTTCACCTTAGGGTCCCCAGGCTGTCTCTTGACAAAGTAGTGTTTTCCAGAGTCGTGGGGCAGGTGCCTAGGACCTACTAGGAGGTGGATAAGGAGCCGGGAGGTGCGCGCTGTGGAAGCTAAGACACAGTTTCTTTTCTGAAAGTTAAAGACTGTTGGGGACAGTTTCCGGAGGTTGAACCCTGCATGTGCCCATGGTGGGCAATGCCTTCAACATCTACCAGGCATTTGCCTAATTTTGAAGCTAATGAAAAAGAGAAAGTACGGAACGTCTCTGTAGCCTGTTATGAGGTTTTGGGTTTGGTTTTTTTTTGGGGGGGTGGGTGGGTTGTTTGTTTGTTTTAGTAAATTTATGTTCATTTCCTTGAAATATATTTCTGTGTATGAAAATTCAAAGGGATTTATATTTAGGGTTCATGATACTGATTACTAAATGAGGCATGGAACCCTGAACTGGTTTACCTTTCCACCATTATCAGGGATTATGACTACCGTTTTCTCTGTACTGCTGCTTTGATATGAATATGTACTGTCAAGTTGTTCCCACTTTTCTGGCTACTCCCACTTCCTGTATTTTAATACACTTATTGTACATGTGGCTTATTTTATTGATTGCTCTGTTTGCCTTTTCCTAATTTATTTGTAAGACCCTTTAACATAATAAAAACTTGGATGGGGGTATCTATGAGATACAGTATCTTTTTCTTTCTTTTCTGTTTTTATTTGAAGACAGAGTTTCACTATGCAGCTCTGACTGTCCTGGAACTTACTATGTAGACCAGGCTGGCCTCAAACTGGACAGAGATTATGAGCCATTTTGTCAGGCTTGAGATACAGTATCTTGCACAGTGAAAAACAAAATATTAGCACCAGGCAGACTCTGCTGTACCATTGATTTCCTTGGGCTTTGTTACTTAACCCCTCTGGGGTCTGGTTTTCATCCTTTGGAAACCCTGGCAGGTGAGGAGTGAGAACACTGTCACTGTCTTAGTCTGAATGCTGCTCTATAGTAACTCATCCTAAACAGAGCACAGAGTATGTATCCCTTCTGGACTCCCCTCTCCCCACATGAGCTTTGTCAACAACTTCCTCTCACACCTGTCCTGAACTGCCAGGATTTTCTCAGGACTGAAGGATGCTAATGGCACATCATCCTGCAGTGTGTAATGATGATGCTCCTCATTCTCCTCCTTCTCTCCTCCTCCTTCTCCTCCTCCTCCTCCTTCTTTCCTCATATTTTTTCTTTCCTGTCAAGGTTAAGGAATTTGGAAATTAGTAGAAATGAACAGGACTGCTTAGTTTGCCACTGGGATTAAATCCCTGGAAATACTCACTAATTACAGTTTAATATTCTATCTAACAGAAGATGAAAGGGGGGGATCCTTGTCTGCTTTGTGTTTAAAAATAAAACAAAATAAACTTTAGTGTTAGCTGGGGACATAGCTCAGTGATAGCACCTACCAAAGAAGCCCAAGGGCTCAGTCCCCAGTAGTCCCCACACCAAGAGCTCCCACAAATGATGGCACTGTTTACTAGGGCTTCTGCTTTTACAACACTTTACCAATGCTGTGTCACATAGGAAGTTTTGGTCCTGTTACAACTGACTGGTTATTTCCTCACGATCTGGAAGTAGTCGGTTTTTATGAACATCGTATGGTTATGGGAATAGGTACAGGTCTGTCCTGAAGAACGAAATAGATTTATAAATCCAAAAGGTGACATCATCACTTTGACCAATTCTATTTTTCACACCCTTCCTGGTTTTATTTTGTGTCACCTGTTTGTGTCAAAATATATGGGTTTTTTTCAGTGCCTAAATATGGCCAGGTTTCTAGCTGCCCCCATTTGGTGGTCCCTTTTCTTGAGAACATTGGCACAGGATGGGCTCGGCTGCAGTGTGGGTGATCTCTTCTAACCCTGCTCTGTGTCGAGCACTCATTCAACTGTAAATCAGCACCAGAAAGTCAGGGTCTGGTACCTCCTCAGCCCGGTCCACATTGTATCATCTAGCATGAGTTACCCCACCTTTGCCTGCATTGGAGCTCCCCACAGCTACATAGTTGCAATGACAGTGAGCATCTTGCCTACTTTGTGAACTCAGGAAGTTACTACCAGTGAAAGCCTAAGAACAAAAGCTGGATATGACAACCACTCAGGGAATAGCAGATATTTTCAAAAGCCACTTCATGCTTGAACATGCCTTTGAGGGTGGTGGCATGCTAGTCTCTGTCACTCCCAGCCTCCGTGGTCGCTGGGCACTGCCTTTGTTTTCTGTATGCACACATCTTGAAGACTTGGGTCTCTAGACCACTAAGGGATGCTCGAGGACTGGGGTGGCTACCTTCAAGTACCCATTCCAACGAGAGCAACTCCCCATGCTCTGAACAGCCTCTGCCTCTGTCTCCTCAGCTTGCCTCTTTCCCTAGGATGTTCACTATGACAAAGGCCTTTGAGGAGATGCTTCTCCAGCACTTCATTCAGATGAAGCTGGACATCGCCTATGCCATCAACAAGCCTTTCCCCTTCTTCGAAGCCCTCCGAGACCACTGCTTCATCACTGAAAAAATGTACAAGGTGAGACCTGTGGACCCTCCACAAGGCAGTCCAATCCCCACTAAGTATGCTCCACTATTGAGATCTAGGCCTATAACCCACCAGGGTTTCTCTGTGCGCCCTAGTTGTCCTAGACCTCACCCTGTAGAACAGGCTGGCCTCAATAGAAAACATTCGAGATCTGACTGTTTGTCTCCTAGGATTAAAGGCATGTGTCATCAAGCCTGGCTTTTTTTTTTTTTTTAATTACAATCATGTATTTGTTTGAGGGTAAAGGTGGGCACATGCGTGATGTAGAGGTGGAAGGACAACCTGTAGACTCTGTTCTTTCCTTCCACGATATGGATCCTGGGGATCCGACCCCTGGCCTCAGGCTCGATGGACAACACCTTCACCCACTTAGCCAGCCTCAGCAGCCCAAAGTAGCTTTCTTACAATAGAAAACCACAAATATAGAGTTCTCAGCTCAGTGATGAACCATTCAAACTAATTCATCCTTGCTCCACTCTTTAAAGGAATCTCTGCAAGCCTGTCAGAATCTGGTCCCTGTATCCAGAGTGGTGCACAATGTTCTCACCAGTCTGGAGCGGACTTTCCACCCGTCACTGCTGCTGACATTGTTCAGCCAAGTCAACCTGCACGAATACCCCAGCCTGGGGGCAATTTTCAGAAGCTTCAAAAATGGTAAGGTGTTTGGTTTCTCCAATATCTTTTCCACGTGCAGTGTTGCTACACTAAAAGCCTGGGTTCATTTCCAGTGTGGAATATGCATCCCAATGCCTGTTTTTCCTGAGAAAAGGTAAACCACACTCACTCACAAAAGCAGCTGGAGTGGGTAACCTTTGCTGCCTCAATCTCAGTTGTCCCAAGGTGAATTTTTATAGGACACAGATGTTTATGTTGCAGCTACTCAGTGAATTTTCATTCAAGTATAACTTTGTGACAGGGTCTTCTGCCTTGGCCTTCTTTCCAAGTGCTGGTGTTACTGGTGTGAGCTCAACACACCAGTCTTGAAAATATAAACTACTGGGCCATCTCCAGGGAGCACCTAAGATTCCAGAAATACCAGAGACCAGATGTGGAAGAAAGACATAAAGCTCTAGAGATGGAGAGGGAGGAAACGGATTCAATGCACATCTCTTTTTGATAGCGCGGTTGCACTGCACAATTTGTATGACCATCTCATATGCCTTAAAACAACCTATGATGTCATTGTTAACCGCTCCTGACAGACAAGGAAAGTTCGGTGGGAACTCACACAGTCGTTTGTTTTAGAAGTAGGACTGGGAACGCCTATGTGAATTTCCCAATACAGAGACCAAAATAGTCACCACTATGGCAACAAAGCCAGCAGGAAAGCAGCTTGTAAGAAAGAGAGCTCACAAAGGTGAGGGAGACAGACATATACATGGAAAGAGAGGGTCGAAGAAAGGATGGAGCATGAGGTGTAATGGAACAGGAAGAGCTGGTACGTTGGTCAGAGCCCTATCTCTGGTGCAGTGTGCCTGAGATAATTTAGTTTACAATGAGAAAGAGGTTTTGGGAGGGCTCAGGCCTGTCATATAGTTGAAGCCTGTAGCAAGGCAGTGTGTCACAGCAGGAATGCATGGCGACAAAGTAAAACTGCTCACTGTGTGTTCTGAAAATGAAGAGAGACTTGGATTCCATAATCCCCTTCAAGGGATGCCCCAGTGACTGAACGGGGCTGCTCAGCCCCACCTCTTCAAGTATCACCCTTTCCCTGTAGTGCACTGAATCTCAGCTTGACTTCCTGGGCTGCCTCATGTTGTGGAGAGACCCCAGCCATAAAATTATTTTCATTGTTACTTCATAACCGTAATTTTGTTTCTGTTATGAACCATAATATAAATATCTGATAAGCAGGACATCTGAAATTCAACCCCTGTGAAAAGGTCGTTTGAGCCCCCAAAGGCGTCAAGAACCACATCGGTAGTGTCACCCTGGGATCCAGACCCTCACCACCTAAGTTTTGAGGGGACATTCGATATCTAAGCTATAGCAGCTAGATAAATAAAGGAATAAAAAGAAGGGCAGAAACAGGTCTGGCCAGTTGAAATGGGAGTAAGAGGACCACCAGGAAATAAAACCACTGGAGACTGGAGAGAACAAACCCAGCAGAGTCCAAACACAGTCACACTGCATTGTGACACTGTCATCGCTGGGTCACTATTGATGACCCTTCACCATCTAAAGGCTCCTGCCCAGGGGAGAGACAAGTCCTTAAGCTAAGGGAACAGTGGAGGGTAGGCTTCCGCTCGAAACCAGAGCAGCTGCCCAGGCATCTGGCCCCGGCAAGGCCAGGAGAACAAGAGCTTCCAGTACACGCTGAGCTCCTCCGAGACCTGACCGGGCTCATCCTGGCCTGTGCAGCTCTGTGGTTTTGTTCTGAACCTTGTTTGTGTCCATGACTTTTCCCATTTGTGGGTCGAGGCGTCTTTATTTCTGAAATAAATGATGAAGAAGAGTCTTAACAGAAACCAGCCCCAGTCTATTAAAGGGAATGGTGTGTGCGAAGCCAAGGGCCTGGTGTTGGGATGGAGATGAAGATTATAGGTCTGTCCGACTGAAGTGACCAGATTGTAGGGTGCAATAGGACCTGCAGGAATGGGCAGAAACCAGAAGATCAAGGTCTCAGTACACTCTGCTAAGGAGACTTTGTTTCATTTACTACTCCAGGGAGATGCATTTATCTTTTAAAATAGGAACCTTTGTTAAAATTGCACAGTTAAATTTGTATGTTAAAATTTTGCACAATTGACTAAGTTCTATAAAACTAAAATTACAGGAAATTAAATCCCTGGGTACAAAATATCCAATTTTATGTGTCAAAGCCAGTTTTGCTTAACTTTCTTCTATTTATTTATTTAGTCTTGCTGTCATTTTTCAAAACCTTTTCCAAACATTTGGTCACACTCTTTCCCCTCCCTCAACTCCTCTCAGCTCCTCCCACTCTATCCACCTCACATCATAATCTTTCTCTCTCTTAGAAAACTCAAGACCAGTATAGGCCTTTAAGCCCAGCACTTGGCAAGCAGAGGCAGGTGGATCTCTGTGGGTTTGAAACCAGCTTGGTCTACTGAGTGAGTTCCAGGGCAGCCAAGGCTTTTACATAGAGGAAACCCTATGTTAGAAAAACAAACAAACAAACAAACAAAAACCTCCCCCCCCAAAAATCTCAAACCCAAATCAGAACAAACAGACAAAAAGCACATATATACTAATAAAACTGAAAAAAAATGGAGTCCATCTTGTACTAGCCAATGATTCCTCAGCATGGGGGCCTGACCTGGAGTGTTATTGATTATCCACTGTGATTCCTTTGAAGAAAACTGATTTTCCATTTTCCATCAAGTATTAATTGCAAATACCTTCTTTGTTAGGAGTGGAACTTTGTGCCCACTTCCCATTCTCAGGGCTCAGATGTTTGTCTGGTTTGAACTTGGTCTTGAGCATGTTGACCCATTCTCTGTGAGTTCAGTATGCACCGGTCCCTCTGTGTGCAAAGGAAGCTGTTTCCATGATGATGACTTTTCACCTCTGGTAGAGTGCATAGGACTTCTCCAGCACTAAGAATGCTAGTCCGTGGTGGTGAAGCTTCTAGTTGAACATTGCGTGATTTCTTCCTGCAAGATGGCATAAGTGTATGGTGCATGGAGCAATAGGGTCTTATTAGCAGGTTGTGGAGAGTAACCAATAGCACTGGCAATGATCTGTAATGTTTGGGACAGGGGAACCTCTGGTACTCCTTTGACCAATGTCTCAAAAAGATGTGACGCATTCCTGGAACTAGGAGCTTTAGTTGGTAGCAAATGATATCTTATCAGGGCATTGTCTCCCCTGCTATATAATAATTTTGTTTAAATTCCACTTATATTTGTGTACATTTTAGGAGGCTTCTACAGTAGCAGGTTTCTATATGGCCAACCCAATGTTTCGTGATATATCAGGGACTAAATAGCACTTAGTGTTCAAATGAAATAAAAGCCAAAAGCAGTCACAGAATGGGCATGGGTGGTGATGAACCCGTTCTGTCCACCTGGGGAAAATCAGTAACTCTGCCTCTTGTGCTGTGGGAAAAGATGCACTAGGCAATCCCATCTGCCAGATAACTTCCAGGGCCGTGATGTGTGTTCCTTTGCTAATTCCAGTTGGTACTGCCTATGAAGCGAACAAGAGAAGTGCGCAGACCCTACCCAAAGCCCCAGCTGTCCCAGCAGAAGGGCGCTCTTTCCAGACTCTGCTGCCACTGCCTCTACCCCAACCATCTCTACCAAGCCGTCTGTCCACTGCAGCAAGAGTCGGTGAGCCCCGAACAGCCTCACAGCAAATCACCGAGATCCTGGATGAGCATCCCAGTCCTTCTCACCCCGCTGTGCCTCCCCCTGGCTTCGTGCAGGAAGGAAAGACCACTCCAGGCAAGAAACAGGTCTTCTCCAACAGCTTGTAACCCTACCTGGGATGCTCGTTCCCTGTCTCTTAAAACCCCAGATTGCTGCCTTGTGTTCACCTGTTCCTCTCTGTGCACCCACCTCTCCACCTACACACAACCCTTTCTTAGATAATCACAAGCACCGCAGCGGCCAGGGAGGCTCAGACCCCAGAACACCTTCTTGCTACACCTGGACACCCCAACCTCTGCCCTTGGCCTTGGTACTTCACCTTCCCTGACCCTAAAGGGCAGTGGTTCTCAACCTTTCTAGTGCTGGGACCCTTTAATACAGTTCCTCAAGTTGTGATGATGCTCAATCATAAAAATTATTTTCATTGCTACTTCGTGTCTACTGTTGTGCAAATATTTTTTGAGATAGAGGTTTGACAAAGAAGTCGCAGTGCACAGGTTGAGAACTGCTACTTTAGGCTCGTCACTCTCCTCCTTATAGCCAGCCCTGTAATCCATGGTTTTTCTTCCTCCTTCAGCTGCCTGTGACAACTTAACAGCTACAACTGATGAGGAAGCAGACTCAAAAGGGACTTCCAGCACTTCCTCCGACACTGGGCAAGGTAACACTGACTGGGCTGTGGATGGGGATGATGTGCCTGCCCAATGGGAGGCTGTGGTTGGAACCTCAGGAGAAATAGATGGGGAAAGAAGCAGAGGGGACTTTCCACAGACTCACAGTGCAACAGAAATCTTCAAGACTGCTGTTGTGCATCTGGGGGTGTAGCTTAGTGGAGGGTCACTCCCCTGGTAGATGCGAGACTCCTGGGTTCAATTCATAGTGTATAGAACCCCACTTCCTGTTCTGGAACAGCACATAGCATGTTATACATTTGTATTGGTGATTCTTTGCTGACTACAGAAGCCTTTGCGTTTCAGCCTTACTCATTCCTTTTTATTTCAGAGTATGTTAAGGGTAGAATTCAGGGCCTCTTGCATGGTGGACAAACACTGACCTACACCTCCAACCCTCCATATTTATTTTTAGATGAATTAGATTCCAAGGCTTATGTATGTTATTAAAATTATTAGAAAATATTATAAAAATGTTAAAGGTCTGTGGGACCTAATTTAGCTTCCAGACTTCTGCCACCTGCCTTCCCCAAACCACCATTATAATGAAGTTTGGTTACATTAACTATAACAGGATGTATTACTGACATTATCAAAGTTATGTATTATGGACTCCCTGCTCTCTAGGACTGAGAATAAAAGAGTCCTGTTTGAACTCAGTGACATTTCCTTTACTCCTCTGATACATGCCACTCAAAGTTCAACAGAATCAGAAAGCTAATAACAATAGAAGATTTCTTTCAAAAAAAAAGAATAAATACTGTTATTAAATTAATGAGTTGCTAATTAAGAGTAAGCAACTGTTTGCTGTTCCTTCTCTATCCTGCTTTACCCGGGTTACCTCGCTGGTTAGTTAGAAGCACATTTGTTCTCTTTACCACTCTGGTCCCGACCTGCTCGTCCTGAAAGCCTCAATTATTTTTCTTCCCTCTGCTTAGCATCCTCTATGAAGACCCAGAGAAATGATAAAGATGACTCTCCAAAGATGCCCCACAGTCTGCCAGGCCCCATCCCAGGTAATTTGCCTTTGGCCTAAAAGGACATCCATTTCTGGTCATTTACACCATCCACTCCCCTCCCTGACATCCAGGCCTCCTAACCCAAGATCTTCCTTCCTCCTCCAGTAACCAAAGGCAACTTAACATCCAAGGTTAAGGAGGAAGAAGACTCAGGAGGGCAGCCTCCCAGTTCCCCTGGCGCTGTGCAAGGTAACGCTGGTTAAGGCTGATTTAACTCTTAGTTGTCTTGGTTGGGATGGTTTAAACTTACCTCTGCTTGGGTGCTTAGGGAGTCAGGAACCCTGAGTTCCTGAAGGGAGAAAGAGTTGTGGGGAAGGCAAGGAGGAAGGACTGGGCAGGTAAGCGTGTAGGAACCCATCACAAAGATCAAAAAACCCACTCATGCCTGCCAGACTCTAAAATGTTGTTGGAGAATCGGTGTTAAATATTAAGGTATTGGCAAACAGAGAGAATTCCTCAGCCACAAAGGACTGTGGTGGACTTCAGGAGAGAAGAAGACAAGGCAAGGCTGAACTCTATGACCTTGCTTCTGTGATGAAGTCACTACAACAAGTAAGACTCAAAATGGCCCCAACAAAATGCCAGACAGACAGACAGACAGCCGAAACCCTGTGTGTCCCCAGTGATGGGTGATGCAATTGATATGGATAACCTTGACGTCACCCTGACTGTGAGAGTAGTCTCTCAGTGATGGTCAGTTCTATATCGTATAGAGTACTAAAAATGCTTGTTATTAAAATGATATGAAAAGAAAAATTACTTCGAAAGTAGTAATTCTACAGTAAATTGTAAATGGTTTACAATGTGCCTCAGCTATCTGGCCAGAAGTTCAAATAATTTTCATAGTGTTGTGTAAGCAGCAGACAGCCTTAAGGAGGTGGGCCTTTATCTATTATGGCTTCAAGCCCCTTTATTTTTCTTATTGCATCAAAGTTAGCTAAATCTCAAAATGATTTTGCTGTTAACAGATGCATAGGTAACAACAACAAGGTAGTCAGAGCTGGAAAAGTGTCTCAGTGGCAAAGATCAAAGCATGCTCTTCCAGAGGACCTGAGTTCAATTCCCAGCACCTACATGGTAGCTCATAACCATCTGTAACTCCAGCCCTGAAGGATATGGCGCCCTCTTTTGGCCTTTGTGGACACCAGGCACACATGTGGTACCCAGACACACATGCAGGCAAAACACCCAGGCACAAAAAGTTTTAAAAGGAGTAACAATGTCAGATGAAGGCAGAACCCTGCGGCCTGGCATATCCCTGGCTTCACTCCCTTCCGTTCGAGTTCTTCTACTCTCTTTCTTCACACACTCTCTTCAGTCCATTCTGAGCTCTGAGGTGGGTTATGTTTTCTTTTGCTAGCGGCAAAAAATGATTCTCCGGCACCAAATAACCTGGAAATGGTCCAGGAATCAACCAGTACTCCAGCAAAACAGAAAAAGGATTCTCCAGCTCCGAATAACCCGGAAATGGCCCAGGAATCAACCAGTACTCCAGCAAAGCAGAAAGGAGATTCTCCAGCACCAGATGACCTGGAAATGGCCCAGGAAGCACCCAGCACTCCTGCAAAGAAGAAAGGTATAGCCATTCTTTCCCTTGGAATGCTTCCCGTTTCTCCAGCTCTGTCACATCCCGGCATCTACAATGCCACCGGTTCTACAATCTCAGCCTTTCTTCAGCCTCTCTTTTCCTTCCACCTTCCCCAAAGGCCTTGTGAAAATGACAGGTAACAAGCAGGCGTAGTGAACCAAGTAGTGAACCAACGCGTAGTGAATCAAGCATCCCTCAGATTCACCAGACTCCTATCCCATAACTGCTGGGCATATCTGTTCCACTAACCTCATTAACTACAGTTGATCAGCACACTGCTTCCTCGTAAGTCACGTCCAGGCAGCTTCTGCCATCCATCAACTTACACCTCATGGTGTCGAGCAGCTTGAATGTCTACCTGGATACCTACTTCCCATCTCACTCTTTGATTTCCTGCTTCTTTTTTGAGGTGTCACCATTCAATTAAAATATGTGTTGTTATTGGCCCAGCAAGATGGCTCATTGGTTAGAGGTGGCTGGTACCAGGTCTGATGTTCTGAATTTGATCCCTGAAATCCATAATGCAGAGGAACAGAACCAACTCATTCAAGTTGTCTTCTGCCTGCCACATGGGTACCATGGCACATGTGTCCAACACCCCCACAACCAAAACAAATATAATAAGTGTAAAATAGTAGTAAACTCTGTGACTACTCTGGTACTGTCCTCCAATGACTTCCCCGTTGCCTCCTGAAGCTTCCTAAGCCTAATTTTCTCCCACTTCAGTTTCTGCTATGGTTCTGCATACCTTCATGGCATTGTGGGTAGCAGGCTGATCCTGAGTGCTTTCAGGGAGTCACAGATAGCAGGCAACCCACCCAGTACTCCAGCTGCTCCAGTCTTTATCTCCTCACATCTGGCTACTTTTTCTTTCACAAATTCTTGGTTTCTCATATCCAGAAGCCATCCATAGACCCTACCATTATTCAAACCTAGCTTAATTTCCCAATAATTAATACAATAATTCTCACTTTAACACTTGTTTAAAAGGGGGGGGGGTTACAGCTCGGGGACAATGGTCTGTACCCTGTTACTTGTATTTTAAATAAACTCTGATTGACCAGTAGCCAGGAAGGAAGTATTGGCATGGCAATGAGAATTATGGATAGAGGAAAGTTGCAGTCTGCAGTCATCACCTAGGTGCAGAGGACACAAGATGTGACTGCCTCGCCAAAAACGGTACCAGGCCACGTGGCTAGCACAGACAAGAATGGGTTAATGTAAGATGTAAGAATTAACTTATAAGAAGCCTGAGCTACTAGGCCAATCAGAATTTTATTAAAAATAATACAAGTGACAGAATAAAAGACCCACAGCACTTCCCCCTTTTAAAAAAAAAGAAACAAGAAGTCTGAATCTAATCTCCTTTGTTTAGCTTTTCTCCTGACCATTATCCATAACAACTTGTAACCAACATTCTAAACAAAGGAAAATATCCACAGTCCATTTGGGGGGAATGTGGGCATAGTTTTGAAGGCTATTTCCTGCTGATTGTGGGTGCTGATAATCTTATGGGGACCTAAAGAAAATTTAGAATTATGATCAAGTCGTGACTGGAGTATCCTATGAGGCTTGATTATCTCAGGCAGCAGTCTTGAATCTATTCTGGATGTAGAACTCAGACATCTGGGCCTTCCACGCCTATCAGCTTTCTCAGGGGGTCTTCCTTGATCAAACCTGATTTTTCTTAACCGGGAATGAATCCACAACCTCTCATTTCCAGTAAACAAAAGCAAAAACGTCTTCTCCAAAGTAACATACCCTTTGACTTCAGTTTTGAAGTCAAAGTTCTTTCAAAATACCTGTCTTAGATTAATTCAACAGCATTTATAAACAAATATATTTTAGCAGCTGTTGTTCCTTCCTCAGCATTCAGACAATTCAAAGAGAACATACAGTATCCAGATTCTGTGTGTGTTTTCCATATTTACATGGCTTTATTTTAAACTCTTATTTCTTTTATTCTTATTTTTATTTTTTGGCTTTTTGAGACAGGGTTTCTCTGTGTATCTTTGCATTGAAACTCGGTCTGTAGACCAGGCTCCCCTTGAACTCACAGAAATCCACATCCCTCTACCTCCCAAATGCTGGGATTAAAGGTATGTGCCATGACACCTTGAACTCACAGAGCTCAGTCTACCTCTGCCTCCCAAGTGTTGGGATTAAAGGTGTGTGCCACCACACCCAACTACTCTCCTCTTTTCTTGCTTTTTTAGACTTTCTTCTTCTTTTTTTCTTTACAAGGCAGTTTTTAAACACACTGTAAATTGTCTAGAAGCTTTTTTACCTGAGACTATCTTTACTGTATATCTCTCTTTTTCTGACCTCATGAATCTTTAATTTGCTAAGTGATATCGCTAGGATTAAAGCAGTGGCTTTGACGGCTGAATTCTGCCCATTCCCTAGCTTTCTGAGATTCTGCCTCATGGCAGAGGCACTGGCCAGGGCCATTTTTATTATCACAACTCTATGGTATTTCAAGGTCTGTGCCACCACCAAAAAGCATGCTGTAAGCTATTCATAAATACCATTTAAGTGTTTTGTGGGCAGAGCCTCTTAAAAGGGTTGCAAAGTTTTTGCAGCTAAAGCTGAATCAGGAAGCCTCTCTTAAATAAGACACATTTGCCTCCAGCAAAGAGAGCCCACCTGAGAAAATGCTGCTATCAATAAGCTGTGCTTAACTCTATTCTTTTCTGTCTAGAATTACTTCCCAAGTCCCTCAGGCTTTATATGGATGCAGTTGTCCATACATTGGGTACCATTTGTTGACTCAGATTTCTGTCCTGCCCGGTCCTGCCGCCATTCAGTCCCAAAGAAATACACAGAAGCCTACATTAATTATAAACTGGCAATCAGCATTTTATTAAAAATAATAGAAGTGACAGGATAAAAGACTATTGTCCCACAGAAGTCCTTGACGTTTGTTCCTTCTTGTTCAACCTCTGATCTCTCCTTTCCAGCTGATCCTTTAAAAGGTTAGGGGTGAGTTTGGAGAGCTGTCTCAAGGTTCAGGCACACACATGCATGCACATACACATATATACATACATACACATGTACACACACATACACACATGCATACACACATGCACACACAAGCACACACACATAAATACACATGCACACATATACATATACACATATACACACAATTCATGAACAAAATATTATTTAATTCTTCTAAATAAAAAAGATTGACAAGTCTGTATTTGTAACTATAAAAGACTTTATATTCTTTCTTCTTAGCAAAAAGAAAGAAAAAAGACATCTGGTCAATAACCAAAAGAAGACGTCAGAAGAAAAGACCCACACAAGGTGAGATGAGGAGGCAAGGGGACACTGGAGGAGACCCCTGATGGGCCAAAGATCTGGTGGAAAAGGAGTGAAGTTTGCTCTAAACTCAATGAGAAGGCACACAGGAGTTCTGGATAATGCAGTGATCTGGTTTTATCTGTTCTGATGGGAGGTTGCAGTGGTCCAAGGTGAAGGTTGGAGAGTGACAGTTTTTCTCTTTATGTTCAAGTAGATGAGACCATCCTTCCAAACTAAAGGGGAAATTAACAACTTCGTTCTGTGAGATAAAATGTAATAGATCCCGGGTCCTAGCCCTGAGGGGCCATTGTCTTAGGGTTTCTTGGCTGTGCAGAGACACCCTGACCACAGCAACTCTTATAAAGGAAATACATTTAATTGGGTGGCTTACATTTTCAGAGGTTTAGTCCATTATCATCATGGTGCGAGATAGTGGTTTGCAGGCAGACATGGTGCAGAGAAGTAGCAGCAGGAAGTGGTCTGAGATACTGGGCATGGCTTGAGCATGTATGACACCTCAAAGCCCACCCCTACAGAGACACACCTCCTCCAACAAGTCCACACCTACTCCAACAAAGCCATACCTCCTAATAATGCCACTCCCTTTAGGGCCCATTTTCTTTGAGACCATCACAGGCAGCTCATGGGACAAGTGCCAGAAGAGCTCTGGAGAGGAGCCCTTGTGCCAGTGGGCTGTGGCTGTCCTGTGATGTCCACTACCTAACTCCTAGCAATGAAAAGCACTGTGTTCTCCCTCTCCTCAGTGAAACCCACTGGTCCACCAACAGAGCCTCTGGGCCTCAGTCACACCCTCCAGTGGCACTCCTGGGAGCTGCCTTCATGGCAGGAACTATACCTGTTCCTCCTGTACTTCTGTACACTTTACCCACGAGAGGTGTCTCGTGGTCTTTGGATGTTGTCTGTTCTGAAGATGTGTGATACACGGAAGGTTCTCCCTCCCCACCTGAAGAATCCCAGGGCTTTTCCATTTGGCTCTGATGGAACCATCTCATGGTTCAGGAGCCTTACAAATATGAAACAGAAAGCAATCCCCCAATAACCCTCTCATATTCATCTAGTTAATTCTTCTGAGAGCTCCTTGGGGTGAGAACATATGGAGAACATATTTGGGGAGAGAAAGCATGGTGCACATCGGAAAAAAAAAACAGTAAAATACAAGTGAGGCATGGAGATCTGGAAGGGAGGGTGGAATAGGAAAATAAGTCTGTGAACGAAGGGAAGTTACACTGGGGACATCCATTCTTGTGTCTCTCTTGTCCCAGGGGTTGCCTCACCTGTACAAGGAGTCCAGAAGAAGCGCAAAGTGGTGGATCAGAGGACTCAGAGAAAGAATGTCTCAACCAGGAACTTGAAGATGGTGACCAGGAGTCAGAAGGCAAGAACTGGACGTGCTCAGATATCCAGAGCACAGGAAAAGACTGCGGTGGGCCCCACCATTGGAAAGGCTCAGTATAGCAGGGTCCCTTAAAGCTGGCACAGGGGTGGAGAGATCCATGAATTCAATATTAGGGGAGAGAAAGGATGAGGATGGGAGTGAGAAGGGGCAAAGAGAGGCAATGGTCTGCTGTGGCTGAGGAGTTTTTGTTAAAGAAACATAACCACAGGTCATAAGATCATAGCTACAGGTCATCACAGCTAAGACCTAAGGCAAAGAAAGGGTCTCCACCCTTTAGATTTTACAGCCTTAAAGATAACTAAGAACTTCCAAAGGTCCATGTCTATGTTGTTTATGTCTACCTATTTGTACATTGTTCATAGCTAAAACCAATAATTAAAAAAATTTTACTTAAAGTAAAATAAGTTGTTTGGTCATATAACTGTATAAAAATGTATTTCTGAGCCAGGTAGTGGTGGTGCTTACCTTTAATCCTCGCACTCAGGGAAGAAGAGGCAGAGGAATCTCTGAGTTCAAGGCCAGCCTGGTCTATAGAACTAGTTCCAGAACAGAAACCCTGTCTGGAAAAACAAAAAGCAAAAAACAACAACTACAAAGTATTTCTGAAGCAAAAACAAAATTAGAAGACTGGTATCAATCCATGTTCCTGCAGGCCTCGGTAATGTCGGTCTACATGAAAGACAGGTAGAGTCTTAGAGTTCTTCCTGAATTCACACAGTTACGAGTGGCTGTGGCTGAGGACAGGAGGAAAATCTAGCTTCGCAGAGCCATGAAGTTGAAAGAGTGGGCTATTCTAATAGTAGTTGCACAAGTTTACATTCCCACCAGCAATGATGAGTGTTCCCCGTACTCCATATCCTCTCAGGCATAGGCTATCATTGGTATTTTTGATTTTAGCCATTCTGACAGGTATAAGATGGTATCTCAAAGTTGTTTTGATTTGCATTTCCCTGATAGCTAAGGAGGTTGGACATGTCCTTAAGTATCTTTTGGCCATTTGAAATTCTTCTGTTGAGAATTCTCTGTTCAGTTCAGTACTCCATTTTTTAATTGGGTTATTTAGAATTTTCATGTCTAGTATCTTGAGTTCTCTATATCTTTTGGAGATCAGACCTTTGTTTGACATGGGGTTGGTGAAGATCTTCTCCCATTCAGTAGGTTGCCTTTTTGTCTTAATGACTGTGTCCTTTGCTTTACAGTTTCAGGAGGTCTCCCATTTATTCATTGTTGCTCTGATTGTCTGTGCTACTGTGGTTATATGTAGGAAGTGGTCTCCTGTGCCCATGTATTGTGGGCTACTTCCCACTTTCTTTTCTATCAGGTTCAGTATGGTCAGATTTATATTGAGGTCTTTAATCCATTTGGACTTGAGTTTTGTGCATGGTGATAGATCTATTTTTATTCTGCTATAGGTTGACATCCAGTTATGGTTGTACCATTACAACCATATGTCAGCACCATTTTTTAAAGATGCTTTCTTTCTTCCATCGTATACTTTCAGCTCCTTTGTCGAAAATCAGGTATTCATAGGTTTGTGGATTAATATCTGGGTCTTCAATTAGATTCCGTTGGTCAACATCTCCGTTTTTATGCCAACACCAAGCTGTTTTCATTACTGTGGCTCTATAATAGAGTTTGATGTCAGGGATGGTAATGCCTTTGGAAGTTCCTTTATTGCATAAGGTTGTTTTGGCTTATCCTGGGTTTTTTGTTTTTCTATATAAAGTTGAATATTGTTCTCTCAAGGTCTGTGAAGAATTGTGTTGGGATTTTGATGGCAATTGCATTGAATCTATAGATTGCTTTTGGTAGAATTGTCATTTTTACATGTTGATCCTACCAATCCAAGAGCATGGGAGAGCCTTCCATTTCCTGGTATCCTCTTCAATTTCTTTCTTCAAAGACTTAAAGTTCTTGTCAAATAGATATTTCACTTCCTTGGTTAGTGTTACCCCAAGATACTTTATGCTATTTGTAGATATTGTGAAAGGTGATGCTTCTCTGATTTCCCTCTCCACTTCTTTATCCTTTGTGTATAAAAGGTCTACTGATGTCTCTGAGTTGATTTTGTATCCTGCCACATCACTGAAGGTATTTATCAGCCGTAGGAGTTCTCTGATAGAGTTTTTGGGGTCACTTAATATGTACACTATCTTATCATCTGCAAGCAACAAAACTTCTTCGTTTCCAGTTCAAATTCCCTTGATCTCCATATGTTGTCTTATTGCTATTGCTAGAACTTCAAGCACTATGTTGAAGAGATATGAAGAGAGTGGAAAGCCTTGTCTTGTTCCTGATTTTAGTGGAATGGCTTTGAGTTTCTCTCCATTTAATTTAATGTTAGCTGTCGGCTTGCTGTATATTGCTTTTATTATACTTAGATATGATCCTTGTATCCCAAATCTCTCCAAGACCTTTATCATAAAGGGGTGTTGAATTTTGTCAAATGCTTTTTTAGCATCTAATGAAATGTTCATATGGTTTTTTTCTTGCAGTTTATATATATGATGGATTACATTGACAGATTTTTGTATGTTCAACCAGCCCTGCATCTCTGGGATGAAGCCTACTTAATTATAATGGATAATTTTTTTGATGTGTTCTTGGGTTTGGTTTGCCAATATTTTATTGAGAATTTTTGCATCGATGTTCATGAGTGAGATTGACCTGTAATTCTCTTTCTTGGTTGAGTCTTTGTGTGGTTTTGGTATCAGAGTAACTGTAGCTTCTTAAAAAGAGTTTGGGAATGATTTGTCTGTTTCTATTATGTGGAACACATTAAGGAGTATAGGTATTAGCTCTTCCTGGAAGTTCTGGTAGAATTTTGCATTAAAACCATCTGGCCCTGGGCTTTTCTTGGGTGGGAGGTTTTTGATAACAGCTTCTATTTCTTAGTGACTTATAGGTCTATTTAAATTGTTTATGCCATCTTGATTTAATTGTGGTATATGATATTTCTCTTTAAAAAAAAGTCCATATCTTTTACATTTTCCAACTTTGTAACATACAGGCTTTTGTAGTTAGACCTAATGATTCTCTAAATTTCCTCAGTGTCTGTTGTTATGTCCCCATTTTCATTTCTAATCTTGTTAATTCGCATATTCTCTCTCCACCTTTTGATTAGTATGAATAGGGGTTTATCAATCTTGTTGATTTTCTCAAAGAATCAGCTTTTTGTTTCATTGATTCTTTGGATTGTTTTCTGTGTTTCTATTTTGTTGATTTCAGTCCTCAGTTTGATTATTTCCAGTCTTCTACTCCTCCTGCTGAGTGTGTTTTGTTTTTTCTAGAGCTTTCAGCTGTGCTATTAAGTCTCTAATATGAGCTTTCTCCATTTTCTTTATGTGGACACTTAGTGCTATGAACTTCCCTCTTAGCACTGCTTTCATAGTGTTCCATAGATTTGGGTATGTTGTATCATTGAATTCAAGGAAGACTTTAATTTCTTTCTTTATTTCTTCCCTGACCCAGGGGTGGTTCAGTAGTTGACTGTTCAGTTTTCATGAGTTTGTAGGTTTTCTTGGGGTGGAATTGTTGTTAAATTCTAACTTTACTCCATGGTGATCTGATAAGTCACAGGTGGATTCTCTAGTTTTTTGTATCTGTAGATTGTTTGCTTTGTTATTGAGTATGTGATCATTTTTTGAGAAGGTCCCATGAGGTGCTGAGGAGAAGGTATATTCTTTCCTGTTTAGGTGGAATGTTCTATAGATGTCTGTTAAGTTCATTTGATTCATTACATCTGCTAGTTCTCTTATTTCTCTGTTAAGTTTCTGTCTAGTTGACCTGTCCATTCCTGTGAGAGAGGAGTGTCGAAATCTCATACTATTAGTATGTGGGGTTTGATGTGTGATTTGAGTTCTAGTAATATTTCTTTTACATATGTAGGTGCTTTTATATTAGGGGCATAGATATTCAGGATTGAGACTTCATCTTGATGAATTGTTCCTGTTATGACTATAAAGTGTTCTTCTCCATCTCTTCTGTTTGATTTTAATTTGAAATCAATTTTGCTGGATATTAGGATAGCCACACCGCTTGTTTCTTTCCTTTGATTGGAAAACCTTTTCCCAACCCTTTACTCTGAGGTAGTGTCTGTCTTTGAGGTTGAGGTATGTTTCTTGTAAACAGCAGAATCCTGTTTTCGTATCGATTCTCTTAACCTGTGCCTTTTTATAGGTGATGGTTGTTAACTCTGTTTTTTTTTTATGGTAGTGTTTGTGTGTTTCCCTTCATTCAGTTGTATTGGTGAAGGGCTGTCATATGTCTGTGATATTGTGGGTGTTGTTGGCTTCCTTGGGTTGAGGTTTTCCTTCTAGCACTTTCTATAAGCCTGGGTTTGTAGATACGTATTTTTTAAATCTTTTTTTGTCATGGAATATCTTGTTTTCTCCATTGATGGTAAAGAATGCTTGCCTGAGTATAGTAGTCTGGGCTTGCATCCATGGTCTCTTAGTGTCTGCAGGACACCTATCCAAGACCTTCTGGCTTTCGTGGTTTCCATTGAGAAGTCAGGTGTAATTGTGATTGGTTTACTTTTACATGTTACTTGACCATTTTCCTTTACAGCTCTTAATACTCTTTCTTTATTCTGTATGTTTTGTGTTTTGATTATTATATGGTGAGGGGGTGTGGGTTGTTTTTTTTTTTTATCTAGTCTATTTGATGTTCTGTAAGCTACTTGTGCCCTCATAGGAATATTCTTTTTTAGGTTGGGAATGTTTTCTTCTATAATTTTGTTGAATATATTTTCTGGGCCTTTGAGCTGAAATTTTTCTCCTTCTACCCCTATTATTCTTAGGTTTGGTCTTTTCATGGTGTCCCAGATTTCCTTTATGTTTTGCCTTAAGAATTTTTTGGATTTGCTGTTGGATGTTGGAGGAATTCTTGCATTGATGCCTGCCCATCTCTTTCTTCAAATGTGGCCAAGAGAGTCTTGGCATCTTGGTCCAATCTTTGCTGTGGCTAACTATGTACCTGGGAGTTTCTCTTGGTCTGCACTCTCTTAAGTCCCCTCAGCACTGGAGCCGGGTTTCTTGCTGGGTTCTATGGACCTTGTAGACAAAAAGGCGGGCTTGGGAGTCAGGGTAGGATGGTAGACCTGGGAACATATTAAATCAGAGACATGCATTTTGGTCCTTCTCAGACCAAATTCAGACAATATACTCTTAACTGATAGGCTATATTCTCCCCTCTTCACAGAAAGTACAGCAATAACGCTCTATCAATCAATATGCAATCAGTTTAGGAAGATTTCAGGTCAATGAGGCAAGGTCAGAAATGTTTGACTGTGGGACCCCAAATTCTACTCCATTTTTGTCTATCTAGAGAAGTAGATAAAAACAACAGACTAGTGACCCTGTGGGTAATGAATGACCCTCAGCATGTACAAGATTAAACT